CACAGCAGTGTGTGTATGTGTGTGTATATATGTGTATCTGTATATATATATATATATATATATATATATATATATATATATATATACACACATATATATATATATATACATACATACATATATATACGCGGCTTGTGCTTTAGGGTGCACACCCTAATGCAATAGGCTGCGCACGCCTATGATAATCACATACTGTATCTCCACTCAGGCTTTACCCCTCACTGTCATCAGCTCATTGAAGTGGTCTGGGTGCACTGTCCCTTTTTCCCTGCAATTTAAAACATTGCCGTTTTAGAGAAACTGCAATTGTTTTGATGCTTACATTGCTAGGTTAAAGCGGCACTGTCATGGCCAAATACAGTTTTGTTTTTTTTAACCTCCCTCCCGACTCCACTACATCTAATTGTCCCCATAGTCACCCCCAAATGACCCTAAGCCCCCCATATTACCTTTTTTTCATCTTTATTTCGTGCCTGGACTTTATCTCCCTCATGCTATTATGGGGGACATATTGACCCCCATAGAGTGAGGGAGGACATGGGGGGGGGGGGTTAGGAAGTGGCAGGGCGTACTGCTCCCTGCCGTTTCTATTTTTAGATATTACAAGGAGGGAGCTGCGCGCCGTAGCTCCCTCCTTGTAATTTAAACAAATGAACAAATGACGAGGTATTCATTCATTCGTTTGAAATTTCTATTAATTTATTCGTCTTTCTGATGAATTAATGAATAGATTAAATTCCCGATCGAATGCCCAAGTGTTTAACTTGGCATGCGCTGTAATTTCACAGCGCTATCTAGTGTGGGCAGATGACTTGTCTCACAGGGACTTCGTCTACCCACAGAAAGATGGCAGCGCCCGGGCACAAAATAAAGATAAAAAATAGGCAATATGGGCGGCTTAGGGGCATTTGGGGTGACCAGGGGGACAACTAGATGTAGTGGAGTCAGGAGGGGGGTTAAAAAAAAAAGGGATTTGGCCATGACAGTGGCGCTTTAAGAATTGTCTTGTTTCAAGTATGAACTTTAAGAACCAAACACTTCAATATAGTTAGAAGGTTACATATTTAAACATACCAATAAAAATAAAACATAGTACACACAAGCGGCTGTTTTAGGTATTGTTTAGAATGGGGAATGAATAAGAGCTTTTTAGAAATTTGAAAGTGGTGAAAGATCTGATGTTTTCTAGATTACCATGGAAAGAGAACTGTTTTTCGAGTCTCCCAAAAATAGAAGGTCTATTTAGTAGGTTTAAAAGCAAAATAGACCAATAAATTCAGTTTTCAGCTTAAGTAAAATAAAATGAACAATAATATATACTTCCTAAAAAATTGTATGTAGATTATACAGGTTTAAAAATAATATCAGGAAGTATTACTTTACTGAGAGGGTAGTGGATGCATGGAATAGCCTTCCAGCTGAAGTGGTAGAGGTTAACACAGTAAAGGAGTTTAAGCATGCATGGGATAGGCATAAAGCTATCCTAACTATAAGATAAGGCTAGGGACTAATGAAAGTTTTTAGAAAATTGGGCAGACTAGATGGGCCGAATGGTTCTTATCTGCCGTCACATTCTATGTTTCTATGTTTCTATGTTTCTATGTTTCTATAATGTCACAAACTTTTGTCTTTTCACGTAACTTCCAGAGTGATATAAAATTGTTGTTTTGCAAACTATCTGAAAAAAGTAATAATAAAACTGGTGCAGAAGCACAACCACGAATCCCAATTCAATAACTAAATAAATAAACAAACACATAAAACTCTAAAGGCAAATAACAGAACTTTCATTGGAAAAACTTTCTGTGAGAAGATAGTGATTTATGTTAATGTTTCAAGTCACGTGGCTATATTCATTGCTTTTCACATGAAGAGAGAGGAAAATATGTTAAAAAAAATAATAAAAAAACTAAAGAAAAACCAAAACAGGTCTAAAACCATTTTTTTCTTTTGTGTAATTAGCTGCAACCTTAAAATAGCTTTCTTTTACTGATCATGGTCCAGTGTACTATCTGACAAATTATGGTACATTTTCACACAATATCATGAAATACTATTCTCTCCATTCTACAATACAGTGGTCTGATGTTATAATATATTCACACTTGATGAAACTGCCTTAAAATTCAGTCTATATGGAATAGAATTTTGATCATTCTTATTATTTATGTGTCAAATACACTTGTTATATAAATAAAGCACTATTTTGCTGGTTGAAAAATATAAGCAATATTTGAAGGTGTTTTAAAAGCATGTCACCCACACTGTTTAGTGTTAAAACAAATAGCTCCACTGAAACTAAGTATTTGGATGCCTTATGCCCTCCAGTACAGCAAACAGCAAACAAAATCTACAAGGACAAATTTGTAAAGGTCTTTATAAAACCACATAAACAAAAATCTGGTAAGAACAAAACTAAACTGTTCTATAATAGGATCCAGATTTTTTGTAAGCACTACTCAGACATGGTTGTCATATCCGTAACATTGATTAGTATTTTAGAAGGTACATTCATATTTTACCCAACACTAGACATTTTTAAAGCTGACCTCTAATAAATCAAGAAGTAATTCACTCCACACTCCTTCTTAGATTTGGTACATTAACTAATTAACTAATGTTTTGAGGGGTTTTTTTTTATCTAAAACTCAGCAGCACATTGTCTCAGAACCACATTTCTGCAACTATGGAGAAAGGAACAATGTAATCCAAGCACTCAAGGTACAAAAGGTAGCAGGTTTATTGAAGAATCAGAACATTTCAACCTCCAATGTAGACTTTATCAAGCTAAAACCACAATAAACACTATCCATATATATAATGCACATAATTAACAAGTGAAATAACAAACATACAATTACTTTATTAGATGAACTGCATCAGACTCCCATTGGTTGAAACTGATAGGCTGAAGCCAAATCAATGAGTGAAAAACATGTCACAAGAAACTATATTAATTACACAATAAATCAATAAGTAGAACGAGGGGTTTTCAAGGAAAAAGCCAAACTTCCCTTCAAACCAAATAAGGATATAATATTGAAAGGAAGCATCTGAGGACGCATACAAAGCCAGCAATGGCCAAAATACAGGCCAAAAAACTATTGAGGCATGGACAGAAAAAGAAAGTAGCCAAACCAAGAATTATTTTAAGAAGGTTGGGAAGCCGCGAAAACACTCCAACGTCATCACGCAAGGCTCCAGCTATAGGGATCATTGCCATGCGGTTCAAGAAATACAGTTCAGCAATAAACACTTCTTCATCATTTGTGTGACAAACGCTCCTTGCCACAAACGTTTGCCGCAAACTCCTGCAGGAGTGTGGAAGCTGGCCTCCAGCCCACTGACTATGGTCCGGGTAGGAGACCCCATTCTGGAGTTACCCTGCTCAGGCACCATTAGCACCATTTCTCTGGGTGCCCCCGGTTCAGCACTTTCCCTTCATTCAAATAGAACCAAACGCTAGCTTCCTTGCGGCCATTCGCATGAACCAAACCCACGACTGGTCCTCAGCGGTACTTAGTCGCGACCACTATGGAACTAATTTTGGCATGAGGACTTCATGGGTCCCCTGTCACCTCAGCAGGACTTAGCCGCAGATGTTATGGAACTGGTTTCGGCATGAGGTGACCGTGCGGTTCCCAGACAACTTGGTCCAGGCTTTTGAACCACTTTGCAACCCGCCAGGAGAGTGCTTTTTGGAGGGAAGGTGTCTGAGACTAAGGGGAACAAACTGCTTGGGAGCCAGGCAGAGCACCCGGTATTTCGGATGCAGGAGCTCCCAAAGGTTGACCAGCAAAAGTATCAAATGCCCTGGAACCATTTTGGGCATAGGACCATGTGTGCGGCCGGTCAGAACTTTAACACGGTGGCGTTTCCCCTACACTGCATAGATCAGAGTGCTATTTGGACAACTTGGGTGCTCAAATCAGGGATATTTGGGGATGTATAATATGTGTGGTTTTTGTATGTTTTTATTATGTTTTGGGGTACTTTTATGTTTTTATGGCTTTATGTTTGGCTCTCTGTTCCTGGGAGATAATTAGTTTACTGGTCATTAACTCAATTATCTCCCTGGCCCAGAGATTCCTGGGAGGGAATACAATGGAGACCCCATGCTGGGGTCTGTGCATAAAAGGCTGCGTTTGGCTCATTAAAATCAGTTTTACTCCCAGAACTATGTGTCGCCTAGTTACTAGGAGGGGAAAGGACTAATCACTGCTCAGCATCTTTTTCCAGCTTGAGGAGGATTCAGTGGGAAAAGTCCTTGTAAGCACTACAGCTCCCAGGACTGTGTGTCATCCAGTCCCTGGGAGGGATTAGAGCCAGTCCCCTATCCTGTTTCAGGACGAAGAGGCTCCAGGAGGACCCCAGTCAAACCACGGCGACTGGGGCAGAAGCGCTGAGGTTTTCCCCGGTTCCAGCTAGGAAGCGATCCTTGGCGGAACTACCCAGCCAGGATACAGGGATCTCCGCTACAATTTCTTACTCTGTAGATATTAGGAAAATATTAAGTCTTAAGATAAATGTAATAACACTAATAAAAAGTGCAAAATACTAAGTATTATTCAGAATCAATCTAAATAATGACAATTCACAAGGAAAAAGTGCACTTTAAATTTTATTTTCCAAACCAATGACTGACCTGACCCATAAGAACCTCCCTAGACAGGTCCTGTGGTCTCCAGAGTGTGAGGCAGCATTCAACAGACTCAAGTCAGTCGTGAAAAACACCTCAGTGTTGGCAGCTCCCATTCCAACTAAAAAAATGTCTTGTTCACACAGACGCTTTGATGTTTGAATTTGGGGCCATGCTGAGCCAGGTAGGGAACCATGGAGGCAAGTTGTTACCCTGGGAAGTTAGTTATGCGGCCATCAAGAAAGAATCCCTGGCTCTGGTTTGGGCACTGAGAAAAATGACAGCCTTACCTATATGGACATTCTTTCTCGCTTCTCAAGGATCTTGGCTTACCCATGGAACTGGAGACAACGCCATGCTACTACGATGGAGCCTGTACCTACAATAAGAAAAGAGAGTGATGTGGAAGCTAAAGGGAAACACTCATAGTGGGGTTAACCCACAATAAACTACCAAAGTAGTAAGAGAAAAGAACAAAGAATATTCTGAGTGTCCTAATAAAATAAAATATAACTTTTATTAATTAAGATAAAAATAGATATTTGGGTGCTGTGTACGAAAAGCACAAAAATTATCAGGATAAACATATAGTGGGCTGTACAATAGTAGATCGCTATGTACAAACTTCTATACCTAAAAATAACCTTAAATAATAAATATAGTAGATAGAGCCCAAAAAATAAATATCTCAAAAATGCAGTCTGAGCTAGTTTTAGATAGACAATTTCAGCATGATCTGAGAATGAATAAGTGGTGTTTCCAGGCACAAAAGATTTAAAGGAAAACTTTCATATGTGTCTTCCAATGAAAAATGTCTGCTTGCCTGGTGGTGCTCAGGGGAAGAGTGTTAGAGGGAAATAAACATACAAGTCTTTTTCAAAAACTTAAATAAGTTAATCTATTGCATGACCTATATTTTTTTGTACTGATACATTCAGGTTGTTAAACATACTGTATGAATTGTCTCAGTTATGTGTACGATTTTCTATTTTGTGTGTATTGCCTTATTGTGTGTGAGCCTCTTGATTACCGCTCCTCTAGAACCTAAACTTGGTTTTGCCATATAAACGGTAAATTGATGTATACAGTTAAAATCTAAATTATTCAACCTCCACTGAAAATCAGATTTATTGTCAAAATGTGCAGACTTTTAACTATTTGCAATGAACAAATCAAACCAGCTGAACACAATGAATGCTTCAAGTAGTTTCCCCACATTCAACTGAAAATGCAACTTATAATGACTTCTCCAGTCTCACAATTATTCAACCCCTTCATGGCAAGCATCTTTAGTACTTAGTAGAGCACCCTTTTGCTATTATGACCTGCTGCAAATAGAATGAATAGTCAGACACCAGCTTCTGGCAGCATTCCTGAGGAATCTTAGCCTATTGCTCATGAGCAATGGCTTCCAGTTTAGTAATATTCTTGGGATTCTGTGCTGCAACTGCCTTCTTCAAATCCTACCAGAGATTTTCTATGGGCTTCAACTCAGGTGACTGTGATGGCCAGTGAAGAATTTTCCAGGACATCTTCTTCCACCAAGCTCTGGTGGAATTTGAGATATGTTTGGGATCATTGTCTTGTTGGAAGGTCCGATGACACCCAAGTTTCAGCTTCCTCACAGACAGCATGATGTTTTCTCCTAGAATTTCTTTACACTTTAATTAATCCATCTTGCCTTTCACAAGCTGCAGGTTTCTAAGGCTAGAGGATGCAAAGCAGCCTTAGAGCATCACCGAGCCATCACCTTGCTTAACTGTCGGCAGAGTGTTCTTTTCAGTGTATGTTTCATTCTTCTTCAAGTATTGCTACAGGTCTTTTGCAGTCACTCAAGGGGTTTTCACAACCTGCCTTCTCAGAAATCTGGTTGCAGCCATTGATAGCTTCCTTTTTCTGTCCGGTCCAGATAGTGTAACCACTGTTCCTTCAACTTTGATCTTGTGGGGGGGCGTGGCCGACCGTCGGAAGTGATGGACGCACACTGAGCGAGCTCCGCGATCACGGGCTCGAAAACGCGGCTAAAACAACCCTTACCGGGTGCATCCCCTGCCCACCAACGCTCACATAATGTCCCAGCACCGGGCGAAAAAGGCTACGGAGGCAAAAGAAAAAAACGCCTTCTTCACAGCCCGCACGCCGCAACATAAGACCGCCGACCCCCAGATCCAAGATGGCGCCGGCCAAGAATGTGACATGGAAAGAGAAGACACAGTAAGCAGACAAGAAGACTGCCCTCTGACCCAAAATCTCCTGCAAGCAATGTTAGATGCAGCAGTCACCAAAATGCAAACTGCTGTCACCAATGCCTTAAATGACTTAAGAAAAGGCTTAAATGAGATAGAAGCCAGGACCTCCCACCTGGAGGACACCGTGGAAAACCTCACTGGAGCCTGTAATGATGCTGACACCCGCCTCAACATACTAGAAGAACAAATGCACAGACAAGAGACCAAAATGGCGGATGCCGAAGACAGGTCACGCCGCAACAACATACGGCTGAGAGGGGTACCAGAGGATATTGCACCGCAAAATCTCACGGCCTACGCTGTGGAGCTTTTCCACGCATTACTGCCTGATATCCCCGCAGAAATGTTTCTACTAGACCGCATTCACAGACTCCCCAAGCCTCAACACCTACCGCTTTCCACTCCGAGAGATGTCCTTATGAGACTCCACTACTACCACATCAAAGAACAGATCCTGAGGGCACACCGCACCAAAAAGGACTTACCTACCCAATTCAAAGATATACTTCTGTTCATGGACCTATCAGCGGAGACACTACGCCGCAGACGATCCTTCAAGGCAGTGGCAGACACGCTGAGGCAAAACCAAGTACCATACAGATGGGGCTACCCAGCCAAGCTGCTCATAACAAAGGGAGGGAAAATCATCCCGGCTGCTACACCGGCGGAGGGACTGAATCTCCTGAAGCAGTGGGGTTTATCCCACAACACACAGCCAAACCCCAGAAACCCCGGTAAACAGCTGCCCGAAGACAGCAGACCCCAGAAGACGAGACGTACTTCTCCGAGAGAGGACTGATCGCACCCGATAAGAAACAGCAAGTTTGAAATATGTTTGCATTGTTACCTAAATGCTATACCCTAGATTATAACGTTTTGTTAATGTCATGTTTAATACTAATTGACACCCTTAGGATATGCCCTCGAATAACTCCCCTTGTTGAAGGGAGCGGCACCGAACACGCCGCCACACAAGGCCTTGCCTAACGACACCGCCTTGCTTACATAGGGTGCACATCCCTCTCTTTTCCTTTACTAGTTTGACAGCCGTCCCTTGCGGACACAGCCTCCTCTAAAAAACCTCCTAAGCCCTGCTATACCCACAGCGGTGCTGTACGCTCCAACCATCACACACCAACCTTTTAGGCAGGGGGGATGCCCCGGAAACACATAGGGCCCGTAGCGATCTACGCTCAAACCGAACCGCCCACACTACCCCCACCTAGGAAGTGCCATAGCGAAGGCACATACCCTTTAAGACACCTTGTACGATACTTTCTTTGTTTACTGTTCAACCGTTTATATTTTTATTTTATGTTATTTGATTATTCTGTGCTGGAAAAGTTGATTGACTTCCCAATTGCACCTAGCTCCTACCAGACCGTGAACACTCGTTGCTGAACCACACGGTCGCCTACGCCGGCCGAGCTGTTCATCCCCTCGACTCCCCAAGACTGAGACTGTTCCCCTTCTCGCCTCCACACCACTTAACTGCCCCACACGACCACATACACGAGATACACCACCCACGAAAAATGAAGCTACTTACCCACAACGTAAGAGGTCTCAACTCACCCAACAAACGACACACTCTCCTTAAAGAACTAAACAACGTGCACGCAGACATCGTCTGCTTACAGGAGACCCACTTTAAACAAGACTCCAACCCTGTTCTGGGTCTCAAATCCTACCCACACCAGTTTCATTCCACCTCCCCAACCAAAAGCAAAGGTGTAACTATACTGATAAGCCACTCTATAGCCTTTGACCTAATCTCAATCGACTCTGATCCGAAAGGTCGTTACATCATCCTAATTTGCACCCTAAATAATTCAACGTTCACGATAGTGAACTCCTACTCGCCAAATGAGAACCAAGGGACCTACTTAGCCCACCTGCTCGACAAAGTTGAGAAAACCCAAACGGGAACCACAGTCATCTGCGGTGACTTCAATCACATACTAGACCCTGATACAGACTCCACAGCCCGACACTCATCGTCACGCAAGAAATCATTACACAAAAGCTGCAACTCCATAAACAAACTCCTGTCTGCACATGGACTATACGACGTATGGAGGATTCTCCACCCCACTAACAAGGAATACACCCACTACTCCCAAGTACATAATACCTACTCCCGGATAGACGGGTTCCTGCTGCGCTCCGCGCACCTTCAACTAATACGAGCATGTGACATAGAAACATCTACGATCTCGGACCACAACCCGGTGTCACTGGTCCTGGCAGACTCGTACCAATTCAAACACCGCAGCCCCTGGAGAATGAACGAACATCTCCTTAACGAACCCTCTTTCCTAAATCAAGTAAGAGACGAAATAACTTCATACTTCACAACAAATAGCCCTGCAGACACGACCCCGGCCACCTGGTGGCTAGCCCACAAAGCTGTCGTTAGAGGCATCCTGATTAGTAGAGCAGCCCATCTTAAAAAACTGAACTACTCCTCCATGCTTTCACTCCTTAAGAAGCTCCAAGACCTCCATAGATCGAACCAAGCAAGCCCCACAAAAGCACTCCAGCAGCAAATACAATCCACGCAAGCCGAAATTAACGCCATACACCTCCGCAAGGCAACGGCAGCACTGAAAACCCTAAAAGCCACATCCTACTCGATGGGCAACAAAGCTACAAAAACACTAGCGCACAGACTTAGGGACCAACAGACACAAACTAGAATACAATACATAAAAACGCACACTGGTCACAGAGTACTGCAACCCTCACACATATGCAACGAATTCGCCCACTACTATGGTTCTCTATACAACTTAAAAGACGACCAAAATGCGCCCAGACCCTCACCGACATCCATTAGGTCTTACCTCAACAACCTCGCACTCCCCACTATAAACGCACATCAAGCGACACAGCTTAGTGCCCCAATCACCTTAGAAGAAGTCCTTCTCCACATCGAGGCACTGCCCAGAGGTAAAGCGCCAGGCCCAGATGGGTACACAAACACATACTACAAGACATTCAAAAACGAACTGGCCCCTTCCCTTACCCATTTCTTCAATGAAGCAACCAACCAGAGCTCCTTCCCCACTGAGTTCCTATCTGCCCACGTAATTACGATACCCAAACCAGGCAAGACCCCAACAGTGTGCCAAAATTTCAGACCTATCTCTCTGCTTAACGCAGACGCGAAACTCTACGCGAAAATCCATGCTGACCGACTTAAAACAATACTACCCTCCCTCATACACACAGACCAGGTAGGTTTCGTGGCGGGCAGACATGGCCCAGATAATACCAGAAAGGTCCTGAACCTACACCATCTCCTAAAACATACCAACACCGAGAGCATTATGCTATCACTTGACGCCGAAAAGGCGTTCGATCGCCTCAACTGGCATTTTTTACACGAAGCCATGGCCCTCTACGGCTTTCCTCAGACCTTCCTGTCAGTTATACAGGCTTTATACAGCAACCCCACAGCGACAGTCCTGACCTCGGGGTTCTGCTCACAACCCTTCCCGATAACCAACGGCACCCGCCAAGGTTGCCCACTGTCTCCCCTCCTATACGTCCTGGCCCTAGAACCCCTGGCCATAGCCATCCGCAAGAACAATAACATACATGGAGTCCCACTTGGCCAACAGGAATATAAGCTCAATCTATTCGCAGATGACATATTACTCACACTTACCCAACCACTCATTTCCCTTCCCTCCCTACACAAAGAACTACACGCATACAGCCAACAATCCTACTACAAACTCAACATCACCAAAACACAAGCAATGTGCCTCAACATGCCCAGAACCACTGAAAATGTCCTTAAAGCGACACACGAGTATGATTGGAGAACAGACTTTCTAACGTTCTTAGGCATCAAGATTACCAACAAATACACCGATCTCTTTACAGCGAACTACGCAAAACTACAAAAGGAAATTGAACAACTACTTCGTAGATGGGCGAATCTATTCCTATCATGGGTCGGAAAGATAGCTGCTATCAAAATGACAGTACTCCCTAAGCTCTTATATCTCTTTCGGTCCTTGCCAATTAAAATCCCACAAAACTACCTGACAAAAATGCAAGCAATCCTTCTCCGTTTCTGCTGGAGTGGAAAACACCCCAGAGTACCTAAAGCCCTGCTCTTTAGACACGTTCGACAAGGGGGAATGGGTTTCCCCAACTTAAAACTATACCACCAAGCAGCCCTACTCACCAACGTCATTAACGCTCATACCACGACACAACCCCCGCAATGGGTAGCGATGGAAAGTCTACTCTGCACAAACCACGATCTCTCATCTACCTTATGGTCCCCCAAACATACAAGACCGAAGAGCCCGGACCTGCTGCCTACCACCAGGCTCTTAATATCCACATGGGACACCTGTAGGGAAAACCTATGCTCAGCGCATCCATGGGCACTGACAGCCCCAACCAAAACATTACACCACTGCAATGGCACGTTCCCTCATCACAAATGGGAAGAAAAAGGCATCACACACATGTATCACCTCTACACGCCCGAAGGCCTGAAACACTTCCCGGACCTCCAAGCCGAATTTACACTCCCATCCAACTTCACATTCTCATACCTCCAATTAAAGGCCTTACTGCAAAACAACACGATCCACAGCAGAAAACCGACCTTACAGACCACGGCGACGAAGTTCGAAATGCACTGCATGGCAACATCTCCCCCTAAAAAAGCGCTCTCCACCTGCTACAACGAACTAACAAACCTCAAAACCGAAAACACTTGGAAATTCATGAAAGATTGGCAGGAGGACCTCCAGGAAACAATTTCCCATCAAGAATGGAAGAAAATCTTCACAGCACATGAAGGAATGTCCTCCTGCGCAGCCCACTTTGAAACTGCACGCAAACTGCTATATCGATGGTATATGGTACCCGCACGACTACACTCCATGTACCCAGGTTCGTCGGACATATGCTGGCGATGCAACTCTCACAGAGGCACGATGCTACATGTATGGTGGTCCTGCCGCACGGTAAACAACCTGTGGAAGAAGACTGAACAAATGATTCAAGATATTACGGAATATCCCCTGCCTCACGAGCCCAAAACGATCCTCCTGCGATCACTACCTGAAGCTATCCCCAAACCAGCAAAAAAAATTATATTCCTTATACTGAGCACAGTCTCCACCCTAATAGCTAGAAACTGGAAGACCTCAAATCTCCCCTCAACCCAGGAAATCACCGCCTTGATGTCAACAACAGTAGACTACGAACTCCGAATGTGGCACCTACTGAAAATCGGAAAGCTGAGCCCAGCCATCGCCGAGATGTGGCAAACCTACCTTTCAACGAGGATCCCACCAACACAACCCCCTTAGCCTAATGCGAAGAGAGGCAAAAAGGAGATAGACCACACGATCCTCTCCCTGCTGGAAGCAGCAACCCTGCCCACTGCCCACCTGATACACCTCTAACACCCACGTCTATACACGACCTGAGACACACCCCCTCTCCCCCTGACGCTCCCGACGGATATCGACCACAGTGGGGCTACACTACCTCTAGCACCAAGTTCTCAACCCTCACTCCCACCCTCCACCCCCCAATCTCACCCTCACTCTCACCCTCCAACCGTGACTAAAAGCCTTATGAAAGCACAAGCCATTACGCACCTGGCCCCGGCACGACACCTTACACTCAATATAATAGAAAGGTAGCTTAGACGAGCACCTCCCAGGGACTAGGCCACTGAAGTAGAGTACATTCTGAATCCCACTGCAACCACTAAAGCCACTCCCCCACTTATTCAGAAAGGGGACCCTTTATCGAAAGCAGTTAATGTACACTCATCGTGTCAATCCACAACGGAAACATATACCAGACATGACAGGTCTCCCCTAAAGGAACCCCACCAAGAGACGATGCACACATCGGCAACGAAATAGCCCTCTACCAGCAAATGAGAGTAAGCACTCAATTAATAACAAGAGACGATTCCCCGGAATCCGACAGACACCCTACACGAAACAGAAGTGCTATAAGCCCCAATTAGACGAACCCCTTAGAGTTCCCCTCCATGACTTATCCTTATCCCCCTACACAATTGGGCCACAATTATGAAAAATAGAGTTAAAACCAATAACCACCTACTCAAAGGTCCCGCAGCCAGACGTCCCAAAAGGAAGGGCTGCCCAAGGCACGAAAGTATATGTAATGTGAACTTAAAAATACAAGATGTAATGTTTCTATTTGCTATATGACTGTTGTGCTTGAACTACGAAAATACACGGTACTGAACTACCGATCTTTTTTTTTCCCCCCCCCATAACTACCCCTTCTCTTCTGTACCCCTACAAAACTGATGAAAATGAATAAAAATTGTCAAATTCAAAAACTTTGATCTTGTGAACTATGCTTCCAATGGTGTCTCTAGGAATACTTAGTGCTTTTGCTATCTTTTTGTATCCTGTTCCTTGTTTGTGAAGGGCAGTGATCTCTTCTCTTAACTTTGTGGACCATTCTTTAGATGTAGCCATATTTCTAACATGCAGTCAAGTATGACACTCAACAAATCCCTAGCACGTTCAGGTATATATACACTATACATTACTGTGAGTTTTAGTTATTTGGAGCTCTGTGATACACTCATACACACCACACATTACAGTAAGTTATTTTTGTGGAGCTTTTTGGTACACTTATTTCATTCATCCTCACCACTCTCTTTAATCATTCTACCCTCCTTGACAGATGCTTTCCACTGAAGTCCAATATTAATATTTAAAGGACCACTATAGTGCCAGGAAAACATACTCGTTTTCCTGGCACTATAGTGCCCTGAGGGTGCCCCAACCCTCAGGGTCCCCCTCCCGCCCAGCTCTGGAAGGGTGAAAGGGGTTAAAACTTACCTTTTTCCAGCGCTGGGCGGAGAGCTCTCCTCCTCCAATCCTCCTCTTCACCTCCCATGCGGCTGAATGCGCACGCGTGGCAAGAGCTGCGCGCGCATTCAGCAGGTCACATAGGAAAGCATTCATAATGCTTTCCTATGGACGCTGGCGTGCTCTCACTGTGAAAATCACAGTGAGAAGCATGCAAGCGCCTCTAGTGGCTGTCAATGAGACAGCCACTAGAGGAAATAGGGGAAGGCTTAACCCATTCACAAACATAGCAGTTTCTCTGAAACAGCTATGTTTATGAAAAAATGGGTTAACCCTAACTGGACCTGGCACCCAGACCACTTCATTAAGCTGAAGTGGTCTGGGTGCCTAGAGTGGTCCTTTAACTGCTTCTCTTAGAATATGGATCTAAATACTCTTAGGTAGCATTTTACATGCTATTCAACATAATTTAAAATGTATTTAGAAATCTAATGGCACTAGCATGACAAACCTGGAAAACAAAGGGACAAAGTACTTCTGTAAACATATTTAATATGTCAAATGCTCTCTCCCTTCACAGCTCCATATAATATATAATTGCTGCTATCTGCACTGGTCGGCCTCTTATGGATGCAGCTTAGTACTACAGCAGATTGAGAGAGGCTCAGATCATTGCTTGCCCACTGGTACAGAGATGTTGTGAAGAAACTTAAAATTATATTTCACCTCAGTAAGGGTACTTGCACATTACCCCAACTTGGAGCTGCTCTGTGCATGTGTGGAGAAGTTGTGCAGCCACTGGCAACAAGTAAATGTAAAACATTAGTGCACCAAAGCACTCACAACTGTTTGCAGGTGACTCACAACTCTTATAGTCTGCAATATTATACAAGCAATTTCCTAAGCTGTGCCTGCTTGGAGTGGGTACTTGCCTTGGTGCGTCCCTTGTTTCTGCCACTGCCTGTGTGTCATCAATTAGCACATTGTACCAGGGTTTATATAGTGTACGCTTCAGTTACACTCTTTTTTTTGTGTGCATTTGCCAAGAAAAATAAATAAATTGGACCATAAAAAAAAGAATGCTAATTCTATTTGCATATACATGTGCAGTTACCAGGTATAAAAAGTATAATTAAGTTTTGGTCTGATAAGGTCACAGGTCACTCCCATGATGATGATGATGCATATATTCCATACAAGCCCATACCAACTCATCCCTTTGCCTTTTCCATTTCCTCATTAACAATATAACATATCAGGTTGCCTTTTCTTTTCATATGAACAATGTGACTCTTGGTACGTTTTAAGTTAATTTTAAGCAGGAAGCTGCACTTATCTTTTTCGTGTGTATTTATACCAATGCGAACTCCTATTGTTTCTCACACCCAATTCATGCCTGTATCCTGTCTCGTTAATAATAAATAATAATGGGAAAGGGTCACAATAATGTTATAGATGTATGATAAAACTACAAATCACAGATGTAGAAGCTTGGAGTCTTGCTGATTACGGCCACCCATCTCGAATGCGGCACATACAGCAGTCTGCTTGTGTGGGGTGATGTGCTCGCCCACTAATGCTGCAATTACTGTTCAGCACCAAGGACAGAGAACTCGTGCACGCCGCCATCTTGCTAGGCCAATGACGTGAAGCCCCGGATGTTCAAGGGGTCTACTCGCTACAGAGCATCTAGTGTTTACACCTGCACTCGCTAAGTGTTTTAGGGGCTGTTTTTCATTCATAATGCATCGAAAGAACTTGTACCGTAAATATTCATCAGCCAAAAAAATAAAATAAATAAATGTCACATTGTATCTGAACAGCCCACCTACTCCCCGTGTACACTGCCAGGAGTGTTCCAATATGGCGGCTGGAACGCACGACTCCCTTCTTCCTGCTTGGTCACCTTCCACGCACGCAGCGAGCCCTGGCGCGGTGACGTCACGGAGGTTATAAGAAGACTGGCTGGAGCAGTCACACGGTTCAGTCTGAGCTGCAGAGAAGATGGCGGTCAGGGTAATGAGAGGAGGTGACACCGGGCCAGCCGCCCGAGAACATGTCCAGGCGGTCAGTAGGGACTACCTGTCCCAGCCCAGGCTGAGTAAGTGAAAGGAGTATGTTATATGTGTGTGCATGCTGCTGAATGCCTTGACAGCTCTTATTACATGTCACCATGTCACTGCTCTGCTTGTACCTGCATCTATTTACATGGAATACTTCCTGCTGGACAGATTGATTTCCCTGCAGCATTTATTAAATAGGGATTTATTTGCAGTGATATTAAAATACGTGTTTTGTTCGTATCTTATAATGTATTGTGTATATTGACATTCTCCATTCCCTGCCCTGTGTGATGTAGCTGTCATTTTCTTGAATTTCTCATTCATACAAGGGCTTAGCATTTGTGTGTGTTATAAGTGCAATTTTACCAAGTTATTAATATATATTTGGCGACAAGAAAACATGTGTATATATGTCCATAACCAAAGTATAACGAGGGAATGTATATTTGTAATTCTGGATCAAGCAGGCAGTGCTGCATTCTTGTTTTATAGTCAAAACATAAAGTATCAGCTAGATGCTTTGTAAACACATTTAGAATTGTCACAATTTATGCCATGTTGACAGAAGATCACAATCTAGGGGATCAGAGCAAAACTAAATAGAATCGTATGCAGGGGCTCTTTTCATTTAAAAAAAAAATCAAAATGCAATTCATTTTAGGCCACTGGGTATCATGTGATCGGTCACATGAATTCTCGTCATGTGACACAAGCTTGTAACCACAGTTATATGTTGTACTAAGAGCTGGAAATTGGTGTTACCAGCTATATAGAATAAAGTATTTTTATGGAACTCATTCATTCATAGTCATGATTATATACAGATTTTGATATAGATATAAAGCTGGATATATAAAATGTTTTCCCAAAAATATATTTGATTGTTTTAAAGATATTATTCACCGAACCATGAAATCTGGTGAAACTCAAATTACACAATTCAGGCTAAAAAGGCCAAGATGTGACTATAACTGGTTTGGAGACTATTTGTATACCAGCTTTTATTTTGCTGTTTGTTTTTCAATTTGTTTATAGCTTAATCTCTGTTTTGTTTTGTAAGGAAATTGTAAAATGGTTCGTTGGCCAAAATGTAGCTGCTATGGCTTCTTTGTCCTAAAATTGTCCCAGAAACACATTGGAGGTGATAAAGAGCTGCTATTAACATGTAATAGATTTATCCTTGGTCTGCACATCTCCCATTTTTTTTTTTATCTGACCGTTTTGTCCAGTGATTCTGTTTTGTCATTTTTAAATAGTGGCACTGTTTATATAATACATATTTAAAAAATTTTTTTTTTTTTAAAAAGTGCGAGACTGCACTTGTTTTTCTTTCACAAAATGTTCACCACGGTCATTTGAATTACTGAAACAAGTCTTCCTCTTTCTTTAAGGCATAGAAATCCTTCAAATAGTTTCTGCATCTTTTTTCTTTACTATTAAAGATTTGTCATCTTGTTTTGAGAATGTTAATATAAAATGGTAGTACAGTCAGGAAAAAAAAAATCTAAAAAGTGGCAGATTATTTTACACAAAAAAAGGATTGAACAAATTTCCCAAATGTATAAGTGTGGAGCAATCGTTTTATACCTAAGAAATGTTTTTTTTTTTTACATGACCTCCTTTTATTGGCAGCCATGGCACATTTAGCAAGTTTCTGTGTGTGAGGTAGTTAAAAACAGTGTGGTGAATGCTTGTTCTTAATTACACCAAGCGTATCGCGGGATGGTAAATTTCTAAGCCCTATTGCTTTCCAGTGACAAAATTATTCCATCATGATTGCTTGGGATTTATCATCTCATGACAAAATAATTCCTTCATGCAGTTTTTGTACCAGTTAAAGAGTTACTCAATTAGATCTCTAGGTCCCCCAACCAGTAACACAGTATGGGCTCTGATTTGAGCACTACTGGTGTGATTTGGCATGGTTATCACAGATAACCCTGCCAGCCAGCCATTAACATCCAGTTTCAGAAACACAGATCTATCCTCTCAGGTGAACTACATGATGTCCACTGGTGGCTCTAGACTTTGTGAGGCCTTAGGCAAAACTAAAACATGAGCCCCTCTAACACCTAAAGTTAAAAAAGGGGGTTGCATTGTGAATAAGGTGCTGTAGTTATATTAAAGGACAGTACATCTAAATCAGTTTGTTCCCCAGCCCATACTTTCTGTGGCTGTCAAATCACAGACCTCCCAATGCAGCTCAATAATAAGTCAAGTGCTCTGGGCATTTGCCTGTCTCTTGAGTTTAGCTCCATTGAACTAAACAACCAGGAAGTAACAGCACTGGTTGTCTGATGGGCAGCAAGGGGATTTAACAAGGTTATAAAGTTGTTTAGGTTGAAAAAGAATAACCCTGAAGCCCACTATTTTATGCTTTTGATTCAAAAGAAGGCAAAAAAACAAATTTTAGCAATTTCCAATTATGCCATAAAAATGTATTTGGATCAACAACCTGTTTACATACAGATCAATTATCCATGAATATTGTTTATGCAGAAAAAGCATCCAAGCATTTTCTAAAAATATTTATAGAATCTAAGACAACCTTTTTAAGCAGAGAATTGCACGTCTTTATTGTTCTTACTGTAAAGAAACCTTTCCTCTGCTGTAAGTGAAAACACCTTTCTTCCAGTCTCAATGGATGACCTCTTGTCTGTATAACAGGTTAGCTAGCATTTAGTATTGACCCTGTATAGTATTGTATAGAGGTATCATATCGGCTCTGAGGTGCCTTTTTTTTTTTATAAAGCAGACAGATCCAGTTTTTCTAGCCTTCCCTCACATCCCTTATTAGTTTTGTAGCTTGCATTTTTTCTAGTTCTGTAATATCAGTCTTTAAAACTGGTGCCCAAAATTGCAGCACATATTCAAGGTTGGGTGTCTTACCACTTATTTATAACGAGGCAAAATTATATTTGGATTATGCAAATCAAAAACCCCTTTATACACTAAAGCACCTTACTTAGTTTTTGCAGCAGACTTGCAAGACCCTTTCCTTTAACGTTATCCCTAACTCAAGCTCATTTAATGTATAAATCAGGGCTTGACAAATTTGTTTTCAATCTAGGAGCCAGCTAAAAAAGTTAGCAGCCAGTCCCCCCTCTCCAATGACAAAAATACAATTCTTAAAGGAACACTAAAAGGAACACTATAGTCACCAGAACCACTACAGATGACTTTTCAATGTAAACGCTGCCTTTACGGAGATAAGGCAGTTTTGACATTGCTGCCTAGTAACACCTCTAGTGGCTGTCACTCTAAAGTGTCTCCTATCTTAGTTCAAAATGTGCAGCACCTACATTCAGTGTCTCCACGCTCTGCATGGAGGCACTGATGGTTACACATTAAGATATGGGTGGGCACACATACACTGTATTATGATTTGTGGACCCAGGACGTACTTGAAAATGAGAGAAATCTCAATGTATCTTTCCTGGTAAAATATTATAAATAAATAAATTATTGATACACTCAAATATATATACACACAGACACACACATACAGACATTCACACATGACCGATACAAAAAAATACATATTTTTAGCCACCCTCCTGCCTTTTGGGCTCAGGAGGGTGGCTCCCCTGGGGTCCTGTGGGACTGGGCAGCAGCAGGTGACATCTGGTTAGTGGGATTGGGCAGCAGCAGGTGCCATTTGGTTAGTGGGACTGGCTGCAGCTAATGGTAGTAGGCAGCCACTGTTTGACACCTCCGCCTCCTGTCTCTCCAGCCCTGTGCAACTCTGTGTGCGCTGGGATGAAGTTAAGGTAACTGTAATAACTTCCTTCAGGTGCTGAGGTCATGCAGGGTAAAGGGTGGGCGGGCAGCCGGCTGGCCCTGCGGCATGGGGGTCAGTAGGCGGGCGGGGAGCAGGGTTGGCTATGCAGGATGGGGAGCTGAGTCGTCTTTACCTTGTCAGGTTAGCTTGCCATTCCCCTGCACTGCCTCTGCACTGGGAGGAAGTAATTACAGTTCTTCACTCCCTCCTGGCACACAGAGAGCTGCATGGGGATTGAGACAGGAAGAGGAGGGAACAGGCTGATCAATCCCAGGCACCAGGGCAAAATATTTAGTCGCCATGGCGACCTGGCGTCTGGGATTAGTCGAGCCCTGGTATAAGTGGTTTATGGGTTCCTTATTCCAAGATGCATTTATCTGTATTGAATTTCATTTGCCACTTGCCTGCCCAGTCTCCCAATTTATCCAAATCCCACTGAAGGGAAGTTATTTCATGTTCAAGCTGTATTTTCTTACCTAGTTTTGTATTTGCAAATACTGACAAGTGACTTTCATAGCCCACTTTGATTAAAGAGAAGGGGAAACAGTGGCATTCTATTTACCACTTTTGTCCAATTGGAAAATTTTCCATTTGCAACTATTCTCTGCACTCTCTTTAAAGTGAGTGCATCTTTAAATGCCGAACTTACCTTTCTTTAATTGATTCCTCTTCTTTCCCTCTCTCAGGATCTGTTCTTCATTTATTCCTGTCTGCTCTAGTTTTCTTTAAAACATAAGAAAAAGTAGGGACTATTTGTCTTATGAAGGTTTCCTACGCCTGACCAGCGGAGGAGCAAAGTGTTCTTCATTAACGGTGGTCAGAGAAATGTTCCCATAATTCTCACCTTTCCTCAGTGTTCCCACGATGCTTCCTTTTACTTTTCCCGAACGTCCTGTCACTTAGAGCGCCGGCAAAACTACCGAATTGCGTCCTAACAGAATGAGAACAGTTTCTCCATTAATGTTAGGAAGCAATTCGGGACTTTAAGATTGGAATTTCATTCGAATGAAAAACTCTGATCTGATTCATGCCGCGGCTGCATTTTGCAGCCGCTTAGTAGATAACTCCCTAATACCCATGGTATTAGGGAGCGCTATCTACCAAAAGGCTGAAAGACCTAAATTGGTCTTTCAGCCAAATTTACTAATACTAAGTAAAGATTACTTAGTATTACTAAATTCTGCCCCTACTCGCTGTATCACAAGTAGGGGCATGTCCAGTAAACAGTGAGCAGCCTGTGGCTGCTCACTGTTAAAAAAAAAAAAACAGAAAACAAAAAAAAAAGTACCACCCTCTCAAGCCCCCACCCTCTCGAGCGAGTGGGGGCTTTTAAACTGAAGGGGGGACCTAGAGCCCAGTCACTACCCTTCAGTGGCAGCCCTAAATGAGAATGTGTGGGGGGGCACCTATTGTACTTCCTCCTGGCCCGTACCCCTGAGTTGCAGGTGGGGGCCCTAAATAGCAATGAGAGGGGTGAAGACCTATTATCCTCCCCCCTGCCCCCACCCCTGAGCAGCAGGTGGGGGCCCTAAATAGCAAAGAAGGGGGGGAACCTATTCTCCTCCCCCGGCCCCCACCCCTGAGTGGCGGGTGGGGTCCCTAAATAAATATAGGGGGGAGCTATTGTCCTCCCCCCTGCCCCCACTGCTGAGCTATCAAGTGTGGGCAGATGACGTTTCCCACAGGGCCTTCATTTACCCACACAAAGATGGCGGCGCCCAGAACTTAGGTCCGGGTAGAAAATAAAGTTTAAAAACTAGGTAATATGGGGTGCTTAGGGGCATTTGGGGGTAACTAGGGGGTCAATTAGATGTAGTGGAGTCGGGAGGGGGGTTAATAAAAAATGGTATTCGGCCATGACAGTGCCGCTTTAAGCCAGTGTTATATCCAAGGACATGACTTGTTTTCTAAACTGATTTAAAGGGCAGAAAAACAAACCCGTACATCCAGAAATCGTGTAAAACTAGGTATGCATAAGTGGATTATGTGTCACACTGAGGGGAGGAGATGTGTGGGAGGTAAGTTACACTAATGGATACTGTATTAATGAATGTGAATCCCTCCCTTGCATGGGAGAAAGCTTTAAAAGAAGGTTGTGTGGATTAAAAATTCAGTTCTGCTCCTGATGCTGTGTCGTCCAGTCATTGGGATCTGTATTGGGATATTTGTGGATTACCTTGCTTGTTGTGACTATTGTTATATGGGATTTTATTACTTGTTCCTGAGCCTCACTGGGATCTTTAGTGGAAATAACCTGTAAAATACCAGTTCTCCGCTACGCTGGAGATGCGAAGGTGGGGACAATGGAACACATATGGTGGGAGTGCCCACATATTAGACCATATTGGACAGATGTAATTGTAATAATAAAAACCATTCTAGAGCTCCCACATTCACTGGCACCATCCCAGGTACTGTTTGGCTGGCCACAATTCTTCCAAAACCCGAAAGCCCAACACCTGGTGTGGTTGTTACTGGGAGAAGCAAACAACCTTATACCTATATACTGGAGGAAAACGGAGACCCCCACAGTGACACAATGGATAGCCAGGGTAGAAGTAATGAGAGAAATGGAGAACATGCATTGGTCTACACAAGGCAGTCACTACAAATACACAATCACATGGGAACCCTGGCTAAAGTACTGGGCGCAAAAAGACAATAAACGTGGCCAATAATGAATGAACCTACACGGTACCCAATGGAACCCTTCCCAGCCTCCCCACTATGGGGAGTCTACGGAACACTGACCCCCTCCCATCCCCTGTACCAATACCCAGTTATAACCCTCAGCCCTGAGGTCTCATTGTCGAGAAGGGAGGGGGGGGGGACTAAAATGCAGATCAATTGGTACTCCAGAAACTCCTGAAAACCCAGTGGGGGACCGAAGGAGACAACAACTACACTATTTACATTACATACCTAGAACCCTAGAGGTATTTAGAGAGGTTAGAAGAAGATAGCTCCTCCACAGGGGTTCAGGCAGGAACCAAAAAAGTATTGTAACGTACAGTGTAACTAACCATGTGTTGAATATGCAATGTAACAATCCACCACTTAAATCTATAGCTTTATGCCTGTTGTGAACCCTCCCTCTCGACGATCCCCCTCCTTCTCTTTCTGTACCCCATCCCTTTGATATAAACCAATGAAATTGGAATTAAACAAACAAAAAAGAAAATACCCTGAGGCCTGCCGGAGATCGAGCAGCGGGGAGACGACCACTCCCGTGCTGACTGACCTGGACACAGAGCCCTTTGGGTTGTCAGCTCCTACCCCTCCCCCTTCTGGACTGATGGGGGTCACCTCGGTCTGCACCAAACAGGAGGGACGGTCATGAGCTGAACCCACAGTACAAGGGCAGCCGAGCACATGCCGCCCCCAAAATGGCGATGGCAAGCACATCATACAAGCCAAACTGCGCACCTGAAGCGGAGACCCACGACGAGGTTATGCGGCGCATAGAAGCTACATTTACCCGATTCCAGCACAGCCTCAACAAACGGCTGCAAGCATCTCAGGTGACCCGCCACCCACTACGAAACGCGAGAAGCAGCACCACCCTCATGGGGGAAAGGGAAAGGCACCATTATTATTATTCAATGCTTTCCTATGGGATTCTGACGAAGCTGGAGATCCTCATGCATAGCGTGGCCAAAAGTAGTCTAAGAAGCCAGAAGTGGTAGACCGCCACTAGAGGAGGACATAACCCTGCAAGGTAATTATTGCAGTTTATAAAAACGGTAATACTTACACTTGCAGGGTTATGGGTGATGGGAGTTGCACTCAGACCATTGCAGTGGGCTGATGTGGTCTGAGTGCCTACAGTGTCCCTTTAAATGTTACTAGTAACCTACAAAAAGATAAGTCCTGCGCTCGCTCCCATCACTCCTGGGCGGCAGCAACGACCACAGTACACATCAGCCCCAATATATTCAATAAAAACCAAAGAAAAGTTGACTCTGCCCCCAGCCCGCCTCATTGACTGAGATCATCAGAATTGACAATATCACCAAAATCAAAAGCTTTCCAATGGTAAAGCATTGTGATTGGCTGAGATCATCACTTGTGATGTCAGCCAAGGAGGCAGATCAGGAGCAGAGCTAGCACCAGCAGACTGGAATAAAGATATTTTACTATATTCAGTGGGGCTAGATAGTGTTTTTAACACTATAGGTTCTGGAATTCATGTTTGATCTTCAACGCTTGATCTTTTGTGGTTTATCCTGCCTTGGATTTGTTTGGTCACTTCGCATGACAATTTCCTGGAAAAAATTTTTAGTTCGGAGTTACACAATGCAAAGAGGAAGTGAAAAATAGTTGCAGTAATGGATTTTGTAAGTTTCTACATTTGAGTTAGTGTCTTAACTCTTTGGTTACATGAATAAACTTTCTTTTTTAATGTATATTTTTTATTTTATTCTGGAGTTATGTTTGATCAATTAGTTGTCTTCCTACATATTACTTCATTCAGTTTTAAACCATTTTTTTTCCCAAGCAGTTTAACACTGAGTGAGGGTCCCTGACTTCCCATAGCCCCATCTCGTCCATCTATCACTGAGGCAGTGATTAAACAGCATGAGCACTGTGATAGGTTCAATGCAGTCGTCTGACACAGGCCAATTCTTCTTAATTAGCCCAAGCAGCGCTTAGGACACTTCTTTAGCAATAAAGAAAAACTGTAGTGTTGGGAATACATACCTGTATTCCTAACGGTACAGACCTCCCTCCTCCCAATCCCAGCTTAAATTTTTCTTTTATCTCTGCCCTCCCTCTTGTTCCATGCACGTCCCTTCCTCTGCCCTTGTGGGCCGAGCTCGTTAAACCCTCCATATTATGGTTATTGCACCACAGAGTGGCTCCCGTGACATCACACAGGTTTTGCATAGCAGCGCTGAGGAGCTTTGCCTGGTACTGGATTGAGGTAAGTAAAATGTTCCTTGAACTTTTCATTTAGAGGAGCCATACAGAATAATGCCAATATGGCGTATCTATATCTTACTAAAAAGGGATTTAAAAATCCTTTAACATCTGATTGAAAATGAAACCATTTTTCTCGTGTCTGTTTGAGTCACATGCAGGAGAAGAGAAGTGTGGCTAGGGCTGCCTAAACAGAAACAAAAGTGATTTAACTCCTAAATGGCAGAGAATTGAGTATTGAGGGGCATGATCTATACACCAAAACTGCTTCATTAAGAAAAAGTTGTTTTGAAATGTATAATATCTCAGAAGATACAAATGACATAAGGAAAGGAAAACCAAAAGAACAAAGGACAGTTCTGCTTTAATTGTCTGTTATCCAAGTATATTTTATGTTGAGGTTTGACGATTTGAACATTTTTCAAGTTGAATGTGTAAGTCCATTACAACCCTTCAGGCTTTTTCAACTCTTTATTTTCTACTCGTCTTACGTTAGTCAATGATTTGTAACTCTGCTCAACAACCTGGTACCAATTTAGAATTGTGACACAGAAATGTGACATGGCGTCAAGGATGTGTCTTTCTGGGTTTCAAATGCAGATGTCTACAAGAGAGAAAACTCCATGTGTCTGTAGCAGCATCAACTTTAGGTATCTTTTACACTCCCCAGCAATATGACACGCATTATAAATCACGCTCTTGGCTCACAGAGCACTGTGTTTGCCGATCTGAAGGCTTGTCTCCCGGGATAGCTCACTGTGGTACTGACTAGGATATCCCTACTATCCCTTCCACTTGAATTGCTCCCATGGGAGTCAATAGGCAGTAGGTCTTGCTTCCATGACCATAATGTCTTATTGTGAGCTGCTGTAGCTCTTCTCAAGCAATGAGTCCCTTAATGTCATCCTAGAGTAAATATTGAAGCCATTCTTGATGAATATTTTTGCAGGGTGCCAGGGGGCTTTTGGCTCCATAACTGCAGTCCTTAATGGGTATGTTGATGGGAGGGTTCCTTTAAGACTAGATAAACACTGAGGGCAATTGAAACAAAGTTAAAGCAACAAAGTTATTTAAAACCTCTTATTAAAAAATATGTAAATATAGTGAAGTAAAATGTGCTAACAGACTGAAATTGCGACATTGTGTAACACCTTATTAAAGAGTAAACCTCAGATAGTTGTCACATTCTTAAGATGTTTTCATCTCCTTTAAAAAATACACACACATTTTCGTGAGACCACATGAAACTCTGTGGTTTAAATGCGAAGTAGAGCAGCTATGTTTCCTTATTTCCCTTCATTGGTAAAGCCTCATTTAAAATACTTTGTCAATTTTTGAAGATCATTACTTTAAAATCACATGAGTTTATAAAATGAAACCAAGGCAGCGTATGGACTGTTAGCAAATATTAGAAAAGGCAGCAAGATCTTTATAAATAAATTTTTGGACAAAAGATATGACCTTGTAGAAACTTCCAAATGTATTATTGGTAAATTATATTTCATATTCCAATGATATGCTGAAATCTGTCCTGAAAATTTGGAAATATCATTGTTTTGAATTGTCTTTAAGTTAGTAGGCAGTAAGAACCAAACTATGGTATTGCAATCTGTATGTGAAGATGACCCAGGAGGGTCTTAAATATATTAAGTACTAGGTAACAGGCAGAGATCAGTTGTGGTGTTAGTACATATTCCAGGTTTATTTAATTCACCAAATATTCTTTGAATTGGTTTTCTCGTCTAGATTTAACTTTGTCCTGGATTTTGCCTGAACGGTTACATGGATCATGTGACACAACTAATTTATGTATGATCAGTATGCAATCGATGTAGAGTATTTTACTCTTTGCTCTATCATTTTAGACTTGGTTGGTGTCTTTCGAGTTTTTGTGTGTTGTGTGTGTGTGTGTATAAATATATTGCGCGCACACAGGACTTAATACCTGAAATAAAGGCCACAATAATTGCTTGCAGTAAAGGGACACTATAGGCATCAAAACCTTAGCTTAATAAAGCCGTTTAAGTGTGTAGACCAGGCCTGTGCGGTCCCACTGTTCAATTCTTTTCCATTTAGGAGTTAAATCCCTTTTGTTTCTCTCCATGCTTCCCTAGCCACACCTCCCCCGGTTGTGACTGAAAATAACTCCTTTTTTATGTTGGTTGTGTCAATCAGGTGTTAAAGGGACACTATAGGCATCAAAACAACTTTAGCTTAATAAGCAGTTTGGTCGTATAGATTTTACTCATGAAATATCACTGTTTAATTATATGCGATTTAGGAGTTAAATCATGTTTTCTTCTGTTTGAGACCCTACCTACACCTCCCCTGGCTCTTACTCACACAACTTACATTAAAAAAATGGTTTAATTTTCAATCAAATGTTAACTTATTTTAGAAGTTTTTACCTCCTGCTCTGTAAATTGTGCTTTAATTACACACGTGGCTCCTCAAGGGTCTAGAAGACTATTATCAGAGCAGGAGAGAATACATTATAAATGAAACAGAATTTGCAATAAAAGAAGTGTAAACATTAGATGACTCTTTACAGGAAGTATTTAGGAAGGCTGTGTAAGTTGCATGCAGGGAGTTGTGGCTAGGGCTGTATTAACAAAGTGACTTAACTCCTAAATGACAGATAATTGAGCAGTGAGACTGCAGGGGCATGATCTATACACCAAAATTGATTCATTAAGCTGAAGTTGTTTTGGTTACTAGTGTCCCTTTAACTTGCTTCTGAAGTTTTTATCTCCTCTTCTGCAAAATTAACTTTTTTTTTTACATAAATTTGTTTTTTGTGGTGTCTAGAAGACTATTAACAAAGCAGTGTGTGTGTACCGTCAGCTAAGTAGTGTATCGTTTATTAGCTGTTTGTGTTGAATACATCAGCCTTAATAGATCTATTGTAAAAGAGGTATTCCAGCTGCTCAAATTTGCTTTTGGTTAAGTTGCATTATATAGGTGTTGTTCTAAAACAATGTATTTAACGTTATGCAAGTTATATACATAGTTTCACAAAGCTGTTTAGATTTTTGTAATGTTACCGTCAGCATGTAGTGTTCCACTGATCACAATTTGATTGTTAAAATGCCTTTATAAAATAAGTTGTCACTTGAGTAGATGGGAAACTGTATGTTTGTGTCATATTACCCTATATGAACACTGACACAGTAGTTGCTCTGATTAAATACCATGTAAACATCAGCAGACTATTTCTTTTCATTCATAATTTTCTCTATTCACATTTTAAATGCAGGTTGCATTGCATTTTCAATTTAATAACAGTTTCTTTTGTATTCTTACAGCCTATCGGACAGTATCTGGAGTGAATGGGCCTCTTGTTATCCTGGACCATGTTAAGGTAATTGTTAGTGCAGTGCTTGCTATAAGCCTGAACAATAATTTTTTTCCCTGCAGTTGTAATCTGTAATTTCTGCTAGAATCAAACAAGTTAAAGGAACACTATAATACAAATGTGTATTCCTGACCCTATAGTGTTAAAAACACTAGTTAGGTGGCCACCCCTTCCTTGCCCCCATTAAATAAGTTAAAAAAAAAAAAACTTATTCCAGCGCCGCTCGGGATGGATGGCGCTGCCCCCCCCCCGATCTTCCTTTGTGTCCATTGTGATATACAAATGTTTAAAATATACATGGCAAGTCAGTTGTACAAAACTAAAAAGCACACAGACTACATATGAGGAGGTTGACAAAAAGGTATAGTTACCACATGTCTATGAATACAAAGGCAGATTTCACGTCTCTGGCAGATGCTTTGTTAACAGTTACATGTCACTACCTGCTGACTTCACTTGTACTCAATCATCACCAGAGGGAGTGCTTGGTTTGTTCTTGCTAGGTTTCATCCACAAGTGAGGCTGACCAGGTCTACTTCAAATGAATGCTAAAACATAATCTGTCTGAGATGTGTATACTAAATGTTAAAGGGACACTCCACTGCCCAAATAGAAATAAAATAATCACCATAATGAAAACATGCATGCATTTAATTATGCATTTTTTTCATATAAAAATAGCTTGCAAAAGTTGCAGTTTTCTTTATTTTCTTAAAACCCAACTTACTTTGGCTGTGCAATCACAGGCTTCCCAATGCAGCTCAATGAGAAGTCTTTGCAAGGCAGGTGCTCTCGGCAGTTACCTGCCTCTTGAGTTTATCTCCACTAGACTAAACAACCAGAAAGTAACATGACCTATCTGACAGCCAGGGGGTTTATTTATAAATATGCCAATTTCTCTTGAAATCGACATATTTGTTTTGTAAAATGAGAGGATGCACTCTTTAGACATAAAATGTCAGCAAGCCGAAGTGCTTTAGGAGTATGGAATGTCATTTTAAGTATAATGTGAAGCTTGATTCGGTGCTGTTATTAAGGACTGTGTAAATATCTTTGAACTACCAAGCATGATTGCAGAATTTTGTAAGACATTGGAGTGCACCACAGTCTCTAATAGTTTTATAACGCTAGAAGAGAAGTGCAAACTAAAATCTCCAAGTGTATAAAACTTAAGTAACTTAGCTCATAGTATGGCTTGTACATTGCATGATTGAAATGTAATGATCTGTAAATTATAAGTACAAGCATGTCTCTAGGTATTGCAGATGACAGGAGGTGAAGCTAATTATGGCTCCTGTTATATTTTTCTCATTAGAAAGACCTATTTTGTTTCTTAGTTCCCTAGGTATTCAGAGATTGTACACTTGACTCTTCCGGATGGAACAAAGAGGAGTGGACAGGTGCTGGAAGTTAGTGGGTCTAAAGCTGTAGTACAGGTAGGTCTGAAGAACCTTGCTCCATTTTCTAGAATCTTATAATATGTTTTGTCAATTAACTGCTCATCTTTTCATTGATGTAAACAAAAATCTGTTTGCCTTCATCATACTCTGTCCTTATTTTGCTAAGTAATCTTCAATGCTTGCAGTCCTGTGATATTTTCTTATTCTCTTTTGTTTCTGTCCATCTCAGTGCCTCATTTCCATATTTCCCATCAAATCTGTCTCTTGGTCTTTGAAAACAACCTCTTCTTTTTAGGTATTTGAAGGCACTTCTGGTATTGATGCCAAAAAGACCTCCTGTGAATTCTCAGGGGACATTCTGAGAACCCCTGTATCAGAAGACATGCTGGGTATGTACTTTGCTAGTAGATTGAGCATCTTGTAGAATTAATTAAAGGGCAGAATATTTCTGAAAGCACAAAACATACTTCTTACTCTTCAAATGCCAAAATGTCATATACTGTTGATTTTCCAGGTCGTGTTTTTAACGGCTCAGGGAAGCCCATTGATCGAGGGCCAACTGTCTTGGCTGAAGATTATCTGGACATCATGGGTAGGTGGACAGTTCACTGCTTCTGTAATGAGTTCTGTTGTATATTACGTAAACTGTTTAAATTGGTGAGAATAAATGATCTAGTCAAAATCCAGCACATAAAGCCTCACATTTTTATTTTCTCTAACACATTTCTTTGGCAAAGTTTCATTCAGTCTCTCATACTGTAAAAAGCATAATAAACTTTATTCCTAGCATGTGTTGTAATCCTATCAATCGGTAGAAGGGGTAGACTGAAAGAATGCTCAGTGTCCTTCAGCACAGAAATTATTTTTTATTTTTTTTATATTTGTCAAGCCCTCTGTATATAGTATACTTTTTATTAGTTTAGTGTATTTGTACTTTTCCATGTGGGCGGTAAGCCCATATACAAACATTATTTTTCTATTCAATATATCAACATTGCTACAAATGCAGTATTTGACTATTTTATCACCGTTACTCTAGCAGAATTGGTATTTATGCTTCCATGCAATTATTTCAGTCCCTGTTTAAACTATTAAAGACCAGGGACATTATAGATGCCTGGGCCCACTCTTATGAGAGAAAATACAACAATATTTATTTTAGTGCAAACCTGACCTCCAGCATTGGAGAATTAAATACTGGAGATCTAATTCCTGGTCTGACAAATTACATTGGCAGTACGGGATGTTTTCTTGGTATCAATTGAGCTATATTTAAATGCCAAAACATTGTTGCTGGCAATGTTCACCTTTGTTATTCTTATTTTCAACTTTAGTTATATCAAGTTTGTTCCAAATATGTGATTTTAGCTTACTCAATTGCTCTGCACTGTTCCTAGATCACAATGCAATTAGTAACCATTGGGATCTTGTGGAATAGGATGTTTGCATTGTGTGAGCAATAAATCTGCAGGATCTGATATTATCTTTAAAACTCCTATAGGAGTTTCCTAGAACCTTGTTCCTTTTTTGACAAATCCAGGATTGTAGCCCTCCCAATACTAGTTAATATATATACATATTTCTTGCTATATTATATTTCTTATTATGTGAAATTAATTGCATTATTGCAGGGCAGCCCATTAATCCTCAGTGTCGTATCTACCCAGAGGAGATGATCCAGACTGGTATCTCTGCCATAGATGGCATGAACAGCATTGCTCGTGGTCAAAAAATCCCAATCTTTTCTGCTGCGGGGCTTCCACATAATGAGGTGTGTAATTATGACAAGAAGCATGTGTGGCATGTGTGCAAAGAAATTTGAAAGCTACTGTGCTACAGTGTTAAGTTTGTTGACTAACAATTTTAGTCAACTAAAAATTTTGAGATTTAATCGACTAAAACTAGACCAAAACTAAAACAATTCAGATGACTAAAATATGACTAAAACTAAAATAGCATTTTAGTCAAAAGACTAGGACTAAAATTAAATTGAAATTTGCAGCCAAAATTAACAGTGCTCAGAGGGGCTCTGGAAGGGGCAAAAGAGACTGACGGTGCTGGAAGGGCACAAAAAGACAGAGGATTTAATTAAACCTATTAAATTTTGTCATGCCAACTAAAATCTCCAGTAGATTTAGTCGTCTAAAACTAAAGCCATTCAGATGAATATGTAATATTGATAAAAATTCACAAACTACAAATGACTCATAATATTAAATGTATGCTTACTAATGCATGGAGCCTATATAACAAAATGGGGGAACTAGTCAATAGCATACACTAAACAATATGATATAGGCATAACAGAAACATGGTGTGATGAGACACATGACTGGGCAGTTAACTTAGATGGGTACACGTTCTTTAGGAAGGTTAGGAAAAACAAGAATGGTGTGGGGTATGTTTGTATGTCAACAATGAGTTAAAGTCAAATCTTTGGCATGCGGAGTGTGATGAGGAAAATGTGGAAGCTTTATGGCTAGATATCTGCTTGGGGCAAACTAGGGGAAATCAATTATTGGTTGGGATATGTTATAAACCACCTAATGTAAATATTAACAGCTGTTAGAGCAAATTTGGAAAGCTGCAAATTGGGGGAACACGTTAATTATTGGAGATTTTAATTACCTGGGCATGAATTGGGATAGTGACTAGTACTTCAGCAAGGGGAATCAGGTTTTTGAATGTGTTAAATAACACCTTCATGTCACAACTGGTACAAGCACCAACTATAAAGGATGCTTGTCTGGATCTTGTTATAACAAACTGTTGATCATTTGACCAACATTCAAGTAGGGGGGCATTTGGGATATAGTGATCACAATTTGGTAATTTTTTAAATAAACTCAAAAAAGCAAAAGCACGTGGGGGTATACTAAAACTTATAATTTTTAAAAAGCCAATTTTAATAAAATTTAGGGCAACTCTAAAACATATCGTCTGGCATAAACTCCTTAGTGAAAAAACACTGAGGATAAATGGAAACTATTCAAACAAATATTAGAAAGGTACATTTCTCAGTTTGTACCATTAGGTAATAAATATAAAAGAAACAAATTGAAACCAATGTGGCTTAGTAGAGAAGAAAAAAAAGAGATTAAAAATAAGAAAAGGGCATTTAAATTGGACAAATCAGAGGCATCCTATATAAGATATAAGGAAGTCAGTAATGCTTGCAAAAAGGCAAAGTGGATAAACTAGAAAATGAGAAATTGATAGCCAACGAATGCAAAACCAACCCCAAAAATTTACATAAATTCTAATAAAACAAAAAATGAACACTGGAAACAGATGGGTCTGTTGGCTAATGAAGACCAGGAAAAGGCAGAAATTTTAAATTTTTCTTCTATATCTATATATATATATATATATATATATATATATATATATATATTTATGAGGATCCTATGGCAAGAGATGCAAATGATTGCAGTTAAAGAAAATTAATGTAAATAAAGCTCTGAGGCCTGACTGTATTCACCCACGAGTACTTAAGGAGCTAAGTGGGGAAATAAGTGAACCTCTGTAATCTTTCAAGATTTTGTTTCAGGTATTGTACTGGAGGATTGGAGGAAGGCAGATGTTGTTCCTATATTTAAAAATGTTCAAACTCCTTGCCTGGAAATTATAGACCTGTGAGCTTAACTTCTGTGACTGGGAAAATATTTGAAGGGATATAAAGGGATAATATTCAGGAATTAATTGGGAAGAACTTTATTAACAAAAACCAGCATGGTTTTATGAAACATAGGTTGTGTCAAACGAACCTAATTGCATTCTACAAAGAAGTAAGTAGAAGTATAGATCAGGGTGTTGCATTGGATGTGATCTACTTGGGTTTTGCCAAGGCATTTGATACGGTTCCTCACAATAGGTTAGTCTTCGAACTAAAAAAAAATTGACCTAGATGAATATTCTTGTTTTTGGGTAGAACATTGGTTTAAGGATAGAGTGCAACGAGTTGTCATTAATGATACATTTTCAAGCTGGACAAAATGTATGAGGTGTCCCTATTTTGGGACTGCTTCTATTTAACATATTTATAAATGATCTTGAAATATGCATTGAAAGCAATGTTTCAGTGCTTGCAGATGACACACAACTTTGTGAAGTAAAAAAATGTGAGCAGGATATTACTTTGCTGCAGTGCGATTTAGATAGACTGGGGGACTGGGCACTAAAATGGCAGATTAAATTAAATATAGAGAAATGCAATGTTATGCACATCGGGGTCAAGAATGCACAAGCAACTTACACCCTAAATGGTAGTGAATTAGGCATAACCACACACGAGAAGGATTTGGGAATTAGGCAGCAATACACAATGTCAATCTGCAGTTGCTAAGGCCAGTAAGGTTTTGTCATGTATAAATAGGGACATAAATTCTCGGGATGAAAATATAATTTTGCCTCTTTATAAATTGCTGGTAAGACCACACCTTGAATATGCTGTGCAATTTTGGGCACCTGTTCTAAAGGATATCATGGCAGTAGAAAAAGTGCAGAGACGAGCTACAAAATTGATAAGAGGAATGGAGCATTTTAGTTACAAAGAAACGCATGCCAAAGATTTGACTTAAACTCATTGTTGACATACAAACATACCCCACACCCTTCTTGTTTTTCCTAACCTTCCTAAAGGGCCAGTACAAACCATTATCTGAAAATCCATTAATAAACAGGGCTATACATAGGACACAAGGTCACGCATTTAGGCTGGAAGGAGGAGATTTCATCTAAGGCAAAGAAAAGGTTTATTTACAGTAAAAGCAATAAGGATATGAAATTCTTTGCCTGAAGAGGTGGTTTTGTCAGAGTCTATACAGATGTTTAAACTGCAATTGTAGAAACACTTGCAAAAACATAACATACAGGGATATAATTTCGAATTAGTGGGGTAATAGCTGCTTGATCTAAGGAGACATCTGACTGCTATTTTGGGGTCCAGAAGGAATTTTCCCTAGTTTGTTGCAAAATTGGAAGTGCTTTAGAGTGTTTTTTGTTTTTGTTTTACTTCTTTTGGATCAACAGCAAAAACATATGTGAGGAAGGCTGAACTTGATGGACATAGGTCTCTTTTCAGCTATGCAGCTATGTAACTATGTAAGATGACTTAAAATACAACTAAAACTAAAATAGCTTTTTAGTCAAAAGACTGACTAAAACTAAATTGAAGTTTGCTGCCAAAATTAACACTGATTAAGTGTACATAAATATGACTCTATTGAAATTGGCAGGAGTGACTGTTAGAAGTAATCTTTGTCTGATCCTGTCATTTACTCATTCCTCGGTGGGGTCTGTTAATACAAACTTATGTCTATTTAAGTCATGTTGCCAATCTTTTATCTTCAGATTGCGGCTCAAATCTGTCGCCAAGCAGGTCTGGTGAAAAAATCTAAAGATGTAATGGACTACAGTGAGGACAACTTTGCTATAGTTTTTGCCGCCATGGGGGTAAGTATCTAATGGTATTGGTCGGTTAGAGCCATCTAATATTATTCATATTTCTGATACTTTTACAGCGTTTCTATGTCTCACATAGCACTGCTTCAAATTTATTGTGAAGGAAAAGGATTCTGGAACAGGTTAGAAGATGCCGTGCATTAAACTTAAATGTAGTTGGGAAATGACTGACAAGCTTGCCCAGTTTTTTGTAGAATGTCTTTTTTTAACTATACATTTATTAGCGGTTTGACAGAGTAATGTGGAAATATTTGGACACTGACATGATTTTCATACCACACAATGGATTTAAAATGAAACAGACTTTCAGCTTTGATTCAAGGGATTGAACAACAATATCGTATGAAATGTTTAGGAATTGCAACCATATTCATACACAGTCCCCTTATTTCAGGGGTTCAAATGTAAATGGATAAACACAATTATAAATAAAATGTAAATTTTTAATACTTTGTTGAGAATACTTTGCAGGCAATGACTGCTTGAAGACTGGAACTCGTGGAAATCACTAAATACTGGGTTTCCTCCTTTGTGCTGCTTTGCCAGGCCTTTATTGCCGATTTCTTAAGTTGTTTGTTCATGGGTCTTTCTGCCTTAAGTTTTGTCTTCAGCAAGTGAAAGAAATGCTTGATCGGGTTGAGAACATGTGATTGACTCGACCATTGCAAAATATTCCTTTTTTTTTTCACTTAAAAAAACAACAAAAAACTCCTGGGTTGCTTTTGCAGTATGTTTTTGATCATTGTCCATGTGTACAGTGAAGCACCGAGGCTGAATCTGAGCAGATAATATATCGCAATACACTTCAGAATTCATGCGACTGCTTCTGTCTTTTGTCACATTATCAATAAACACTAGTGACGCAGTGTCATTGGAATCCATGCATGACCATGCCTTCACTCTGACTACACTGTGTTTTACAGATTATGTGGTATGCTTAGTATCATGAGCTGTTCCAAGCCTTCTCCATACTTTATTTTGTTTTCTTCTCCCCATCATTCGGGTACAGGCTGATCTTAGTTTCATCTGTCCAAAAAAATGCTATTCCAGAACTGGGTTGGCTTTTAAAGATGTTTTTTTGGCAAACTCTAATCTGGTCTTTCTATTCTTCAGGCTTATGAAAGTCTTGCACCTTGTGGTGAACCCTCTTTATTTCCTCTTGGGAAGTCTTCTCTTTATGTAGACTTGGATAATGATATGCTTACCTCCTGGAGAGTGTTCTTCACCTGGCTGTTTTGAAATGGGTTTTCTTTACCATGGAAAGGATCCTCTGATTATCCATGCATTTTTGTGTTGCAGAACTCACCAGTGTGTTCCTTTTTTTTTTTTTTTTTTTTAGAATATATACGAATATACCAAACTGTTGTTTTGGTCACTCCTAATGTTCTTAATATTTCTCTGATGGATTCGTTTTTTGTTTTTTTACAGCCTTGGGATGGCCTGTTTCACTTGCATTGAGAGCTCCTTTAATCGCATGTTGTGAGTTCACAACAGCTTCCAAATACGAATGCACACACTTGAATAAACTCCAGACCTTTTACATGCTTAATTGATAAATAACAAAAGAATAGCATACACCTGTCCATGAAACAGCTTTTTGTCCTTTGAAAAAGAGGGGGCTACATATTAAAGAACTCAAATTTTTAAACCCTTCTTCCAATTTGGATATGAATACCGTCAAATTAAAGCTGAGAGACTGCACTTAAAGCCCTATTCATTATTAAACTGTAACTCTCATTTATTTTGGTAAACTACCTAAATAACACAATTTGCGTTGGTGTCCAAATATTTATGGACCTAACTATTTACAATGTGTATAGATATTTAGATATGGAAATTAGGAGGGCATTAAAGACCAATGTAATTCACATACAAAATTATTATGGTTTGTGTTATGATGCATGTGCCTCTTTGTTCTCTACTTCATTAGTCCTTTTCTTGCCTGTCCAGGTAAACATGGAGACAGCTCGCTTCTTCAAGTCAGATTTTGAAGAAAATGGTTCAATGGACAATGTGTGTCTTTTCCTGAATTTGGCAAATGACCCCACGTAAGTCTTGTAAATATTTGTAACAGCTCTTATAGGTTTTGTTTTCAACCCTATCTTATATTATATCTGCTTGTGCAAAGCAGCCTCCAATGTGAGATTGGGTAAATTAGGTACAGAACAAAATATAACTTACCAGGAGGTAACCGTAATTATTTGAAACCTGCAGACCTGTTTGCACTATTAGAAGAGCACATTTTGAGACAGATTATTTTTTTATTTTTTTTGTGAGAAATTAAGCATTATTTAATACTGTTCTTATATATACAGCAATGCATCTATTCTAAATTTTCATCATGAACAAGGAAGGTTAGGGTTTTGCAAAAAACAAAAAACTTGCAGATGAGGTATGATTTTAGGGAATTGGGAAAATAACACAATATAAAAAATATACTGTACCACATAGCCCAAAAAGTTAATAGAGGCAAGATTCAGGAAAGTTCAGTTCAACAAAACAAACCATAAGAAGGAATCCACACTCATGGTGTGGGTATATAACTATTTTGTAAACTTTTGCAACACTTCAAATACAAAATTAAAAATGGTAAACCTTATCTATAGAGTGCAGATTCTCTTGTTTTAATTTTAAATAATGTTGAAAAACTAAACTTCCCCATCCAAACAGAGCCGCGTAAACTAATGCTGCTGCAAGCTAAAGGCAGTTTGGAAGAGGGTAAGGCGCTCTTCACAATCGCAGCATTATAAAATGTACTTACTACTTCATTTGCTGCCAAAAATGCCAAACACATGCACAGATTTCTCAGATGGCTTTCAATCGCTCCCTGTCAGAAAAGGCACTGTTAATAGGTTGCAAGTGCCTGAAGCAACCTCCCGTGTGTGAGTAAAGTTCAATTTACAGAACAGGAGATAAAAAGTTCTAAAATAAATGAGCAACTCATTGAAATTAAAACCATTTTTAAAGCTATATGGACAAACCAAATTGATTTAACTCATGAATTTCAGTGAGTCATGCAGGGGCATGATCTATACACAAAGTCAGCTTCATTAAAGGGAAACTAATGCCAGGAAAATAAACTTTTTTCCTGGCACTATAGCTTTCCCCCTTTGTCAATGCCCACCCCCATGGTGCAGAAGGAGTTAATAACCCGCCCTGTTACTTACCTGGGTCCAGCGCCGATGTCCCTCAGCGCTGGCTCGGCTCCGCCCACACTCCACCCTCACAGACTTTCGTGGGCAGGGGAGACTTAATTTGCATGCGTGACAATGGCCGCACTCGTATTAGGATTTCTCCATAAGAAAGCATTATTCAGTGCTTTCCTATGGGTATTCCAGGGATGCTGGAAGTCTCCTATCCACCCGGAAGACGCTCTAGTGGCTGTCTGGTAGACAGCCACTAGAGGAGTTAAACCTAGCAGGTAATATTGCAATTTATAAATACTGCAGTAATTACATGCTCTGGGTAAGGGGGATGGGATTTTGCACTCAGACCACTTCAATGGTTTGCATGTAAGGTCTAACCTGCTTATATGGTCAATCCAGGGGCAAGTTTGCGTCTCTTTTTGTATATTTTGGAGAGATCACCTTAAAAATACAAACAAAAATAAAATACAAATATAACTTACAAGTGAGAGATACATTTTTCTCTTTTGCTGCAAATCCCCAGAGCTTGCAGGTTCCAGATGATTGCCCAGGTTTCTCCTCCGATCCTGTCCACCAATTATTTATGGCAAAAATCCTGTGCATGGTCCATAAATATCTCTGCCACGCAGGAAGTCACATACAAGTTATATTTTGTACTCCCGAACAATACTGGTTGTATCAGTGGAAAAATGTTTCATCTGTCAGTGTGTGACTGCAACTTAGTTGTTGTACCTTTCTGCTACTGTATTGAATGTAAGTGTACAAGATTTAACAATCTTTAAGTGTGTGTTGTATGGATGTATTAACATATTGTAATTGTGTTGTGTGGGACACATATGTTCTCGTTTTGCTAAAAGATATATGCATTCTTTTACTCACAGTATTGAAAGAATCATCACCCCACGTCTGGCTCTCACTACTGCTGAGTTCCTTGCCTATCAGTGTGAAAAACACGTTCTGGTGATTCTGACTGACATGAGCTCCTATGCTGAGGCCCTGAGAGAGGTAATGCTGTTTTTACCCTTGCTTATTAAGTGCAAATAGTTCTTAAAGGAACACTATTGTGTTAGGAATAACAAGCTATTGTCTCTCTGCCCTGCAGAGAAATGAAGCATTGAAATAGTGCATCTCTATGAGGAACGTTCAGCGCCTTCATGCAAAGCATGGAGACACTGAATGTCAGTGCAGCACTGTCCAAAGAATCACCTCTAGTGGCCCTCTGAGTGACTGCCACTAGAGGTGTTGCTAGACAGTAATGTAAACACAGCCTTTACTCTGAAAAGTGGGTGTTTAAATTAAAAGGTCTACAGGAACAGGCTGTAGACACCAGAACAACTATATAGTTGTTGTGGTGACTCTAGTGTCACTTTAATTCTTTATTTCTGGACACTGCTGGGTATTATTTATTTTCTTGAAACTGATTAGTGTTTTTAGTATCATAATTACAGATTTAGCTCACAACACCGCCTTTTATTCTTAAAAGGGTCAATAAAATAAGTACCATTAGGTTATAAAATCTGAATCCAAGAACATGGTTGGAAACTAGTGAAAATCAGAATGTGTCTAAATACATAAGTAAATACTTTTCTTTGAATTGCTTAGTAATGCAACAAATAACAAATGTCGTTTCAACATAGAATATAACCTTTTGTAGTGATTTAGAAAACTATAAAGTACTGCCATCCTCCCAAATAAGGTATCAGCTGCTAGAGAAGAAGTCCCTGGCCGTAGAGGCTTCCCAGGTTACATGTACACAGATTTGGCCACAATCTATGAAAGAGCTGGACGTGTGGAGGGAAGAAATGGTTCCATTACCCAGATCCCTATCCTGACCATGCCTAATGATGGTAAGTAATTATCACATTAAATGTTGTATGATTAAAACAAAAATAACTTTGTTCCTTCATTTGTGTGAAATAGATTTTTATGAATTCTGGCAATTGGAAGACTGTGTTTTGCATTTGGATATTCAGTGTTTTACGGATTTTTTTTTTATTATTTTTTTTTTTTTAGATATTACTCACCCCATCCCTGACTTGACTGGATATATTACTGAGGGTCAAATTTATGTGGAAAGACAACTGCACAACCGGCAGGTATGGTTACAAGATACATGCCTCTCTTCTTCTGCTATCTATTCCTGTGTTTCTCCAAACCTATCCTAACTTATCCAATATGTTTTCTAATAGATTTACCCACCTATTAATGTGTTGCCCTCACTGTCCCGTCTCATGAAATCCGCTATTGGTGAAGGCATGACCAGAAAGGATCATTCAGACGTTTCTAACCAGTTGGTAAGTTCAAAGGTTTTAGCATTAGGAATGGGCAGTGTTGATGTCCTTGAGTCAAAATAGAATATCCTTTGAAGACAATAAAAAGGACCAGTATACCCATTGCATCGTTACAAATTTTTATCGTTCCCTACCAAATTTAGTTTAGATCTTAGACATATTAGGCATTTAACAATCAAGACTGACAAGTGAATCTATTTTTAGTTCTTTTTTCCTTTTTAGCTGCACTGGATGTGTAAAAATTATAAGCAAAAATGTGAAAAAATGCATTTCTTCTTTCTTGGGTGCAGTGTCCCAGTCCCTATTATTCCTGCAATGGAAAAGTTTTTGAGAAACTACAATAATTACATTGCAGAACTACAATTGTTTTTAGTTGCTGTCAGACAGCCACTAGAGGTGCTTCCTGGTTGCATGACGCTGGATGTCCTCATGCTCCGCGTCATGCGCAAGCAGGGAGGTACATCGGTGCTGGAATCGGGTAAGTGACTAAAGTATTCCCAACACTGTAGAAACTTTTTAAGGGGGTTAACCAGCCATAAATAGCACCACATAGCGTGCCTAATCACCACATTTCTAAGTATCAGTAAAACTATACATCTCTATGAGTAGCTTTGGACTGGAGATTTGTTCTCTATGCTTCTTTTTGATTATCGTTCAGCACTAACAAAAAAGTGTGTATTCTTTAGCTGGAGAGGTCAAAGCTGCATCAAAAGGAAATGTATTTAGAGCTTGGGTAATATATCTGCACATTTTAGTAAATGCATATAATCTAATTTTTGCAACAATTATACACTTCAAAAATAAATGTAAAGCCATTTGTTCAATTCATGGCAAATGGCTTGCAAGTGCTTTGTTACCCAAAATAGGAATCTAACAGCAAACCGGAAGGTCCTTCACAGATCACTTGCATTACTTGTAAGGAGATATTGTTTCCCATCAGTCATCATCAATTACTGCTAATGGAAAATATAAAAATGAGAAACTTCCATCCCACTTTCTATTTCTCTGTCACCTTTGTAGTCATCCGCAAGACCATTCAATTGGTCTCATGCATCCTTTGACTTCAATGGAAACTCACTGAAATGCTTACGAAATATAGACCGTTGTCTATCCAGTTTTTTTGTTTGTTTTTTTTAGACGTTCAAGTGTTCCTGTTTTAAATTAAAAATCATACAATTGTATATGTATATTGTGGTAGCATTACTGCTAGTAAATGTATTTCTTTTAAAAACTATTATAAAGGTATGGTATGTGACCAACCCATCTGTCCTTGTCATAGAAGGCTATGCTGCGAACTTGGTGAGAGAAGAGAACCAAGACCACTCCTACAAGCAGTACCCCTGTTCTCTATTCCAGCAAACACAGCTCATTTGCTGTGCTTATTCTAACTATCACATTGTCAACTGTGCTAGAAAATTATAAGAATTTCTTGACATCATTCCAACCCAGAGCCATTGCACTGGTATATAAGCCAAAGTGACAGTGTCCTGGAGATGTGTGCACTGTTGGAAGCTATCCCAAGCAAGGCCAATCAAATAGGACGAGAGCAGGACATAGGTAGGAGCAGAGCTGGGTGTTAATTTAATACCCATGTACACACCAAGGGGAAGGCACTGGTGCAAGAGAGGATGTAAGTTTTTACTTATATTTTTTTTATATTCAGGTGAAAGTTTTAAACATACACTGTTGAAGTGGGCAATTGGTAGTTAATAGACCTATCAAGACTGATTCACTTTAAGATGCAAATGTCAGAAGCGAAATCTATATACAATCCCAGTAGAACTATAACATTATTTACAGCCAATATATGCTTCTGTCGCAGTTGTTGAAAGCTGCTTGCCTTTTTGTTGAAGAAAAAAAAAGAAGCAAAAGTGGTATACATTCTTTGATCCTTTGTTGTTGTTTTTGTTACCATGCTAGCACTAATCTAATTATTTCTTATAACTGCTAGAATTGTTAAAGGTATTATTGCAGCCTCCTGGAGTACTCAGAGCTGCCCTAAAGTGAACAACAAATTAATCACTAGACACTGCTGTTTTGACAATTTTCCAAAAGTATGCTTTCAAATTTGAAAGCAACTTTATATTTCAGTGCACATATACATCCATTTAAATGCTTCCTGTGAAATATTCTTATTGCTCCGTGATTGATATTGACTCACCCTGTTGAAAAGCACAAATAAAATCATATTAAACTTTTATTTTTTTCCACCTACCACAGCAGTACTTATATCTCAGTATTGGTAACTACTCAGGATCTAGATTTTAAAACCAACCACCCAATTACTTTCAAAGTCCCTCACCTTAGGTTTTTGCCTATTCCATCAACTGGATGAGTAAATATTGTGGGGTCTTGATTAGCAGAGACTTGGGAGATAGTGTCTCCTCCCCCCTGCACTGTTATGACTTTTCCAAATGCTGATTAGACTGCTCTAACCTGGACACCCCCGATGATGCGTCTGTATGTTTTGGACGCCTTTTTTTTTCCCCTCTAGATAACTTTCTAATAGTCTTCATTTTTTCTTTAAAATGTTTCTTGTAAAATGTTGCATATTGTTTTGGAAGAAGACATATCTAAAATCAAAGATTTTAAACAACGATGCTAATATTATGTAATACTATGTAAACAAAATAACAGGGCTAATGGAAGTTATGTGGCACTTATGTTGTGCTATTACAATTCCTTGCCAGTTTTTTCTCATGGTTGTGATTAGATTTGTTTCATACAGATACCAGTTAAGAGATTGATTCTGCAGCACTGTATAATGGGAATATTAAAGAAACTATGAGTAATTAAAGCGGACAAAATGTGATGAGGATCCTGCTTAAATAAGCTTACAGATTAGAGGAAATCAAACAACCTGTATTGTGATTTAACATTGAAATGTAATTTGGGATGAAGTGGGAAGCTCTACTTTATTTTATCTGGTATAACTGCTTGTTCAGTGCTCTATATCTTTTAATTTGAACATGTTTTTAAAACCCTAAAAACCTCACCATCTAGACAAAGGTAGTTCACATCTTGGACTGGCAAAGAATCTTGAAAAGTGTACTTTTACAACAACTTTGGCCACCTCCTTCCGAACCTATTTGAGATGCACCAGTGTGAATGTTTTGTTGGAAACTTAATGTACATATTTTGAAGATGAGATCTGCCAATTTCATTTTATGCTGGGATGCCCTTGCACACAGTGTTAATTCATGTGACTTTATTCATGCTGATTATTATATTCATTAGTTTTTAAAGGCTCTTTATTCAAAGGTTGATTACACCTGTTACAGATTGCCACGTAGTCCCATCAGGTTGTTTTACAAAGATCCATGTTCCATTATATAACAACCCTCTTTGCTCTTTCTAACAGTATGCCTGCTACGCAATTGGAAAAGATGTGCAAGCAATGAAAGCTGTGGTGGGAGAGGAAGCTCTGACCTCTGATGACCTTCTCTATCTAGAATTTCTGCATAAATTTGAGAAAAATTTTATAGCTCAAGGTAAGATTAAATCACTTTGAATCATGAACTAGTGGAACTAGTGGTACTGACTTTATTTAAAAGGGGACAAATGATTTATTTTTGAATAGGAATGAACAGCATTTCTGAATTTCTAACTTAGAACAGCTAACGGCAAACCCAGGCAGAAACAATGATCACCTGCTTAAATATAAATATATATGTTCATTTTTTTCACATAAGAACTATGCCACATGCAGCAAAAAATGGTAAACTTGTGATTTTAACTGGGGAAAAGCATTGTTGCAAATATGCAGTGGGCACATGAGAACAGGTGGGTAGTGATGCTTTGGTTAGGTTGACAATCAGTCCTGCTGAGTAACAATCACATATGTATTTTAGCAAAATTGTAAATTGAATTACCCAATTAGAAACATTGTGTTAAATAATTGTTCTGATATCAGACCTCATTGAATCAATGAATAACCTCCAATGTCTGGAGGGAGACCTTTTAACTTTGAGTTTTAGATTTTTATTTTCTTTAATTAGATGCATGTAATTCTTACACCCACTTCTAGACCACTGAATATCTGGACAGAGTGACCTAGACAATATAACGGGAGATATGTAACTATCTGTCAGTGGGTATTGCCCACAATTACACTTGAGCTGGTATCCCTGGATTGTACAATTGCCAACTTAATTTCTTACCATTTTAAAAATTTAAATAGGATAGGAGTAAACAATACAGGTAAGCTTTAACAAATATTTCATTCAGCAAAAATAAATATAATGAATACATTACATGCAACACTAAAAAGCTGGTAGTATCACTTGAGTCTGGTTAGTATCTTCATTTATTTATTTTGCTTTATGAATTTGGTACAGTTTATCAATTTTTTTGTGTATTTGTGCAAAATTAAGTTTCTTACGTGCAGTTACCACTTTTTTAAACGGATTGTGGATATTGCATAAAAAGCAGTTAATGTCTCCCTCTTGCTGAAAGCACTTATTAGATCTCTGTACAGTAATGTTCTCTTCAACCAATTTTAAGATCACTTAAAATTCCAGAGCATGTGCACAGTCGTCATGCCTGCATGCTCCAGAACTTCTCATTGAAGCAAATCAAAAACAGTTGTGCATGTACATTTTATTTAATTAAAAAACGTTTTTAGGGTAGAGTAACATTTACTGGGATGGTTTCCCCCTGTTTCCCTACCCCGCCCCCAAAAAATAAAGAAAAAACGTACTTGGATCTTGTTCTGAGGTCAAGTTCTCCCTATGGCATGATCCTCCTTCAGTGATATAACTGTCAATCATTGCAGTGACAGACATCACAAAGGTTGGACTGAAGGAGCGCACTAGAGTAGCATGAAGTGGTGGGGACATGCCACCATTGGTAGTCTGTTTCCTGCAAGCTGTCAGTGCTGACAACCGACACCCAACAAGCACAAAATTTACATTCGCTAGCCCAGAACTCTTGGAATAAGCACTTCAAGCTGAAACATTTGAACATACAGACTCCAAGGCACCTTTGTCATGGTGTTTGGATTCACACTTTATTGAAGGAAATAAAATAGCTCTTTTACATATTTTTGAGGTGCTCTTGTTAAAATGACCCTTCACTGCCCATATACTAAAAGAAAAATCACTATTTTAGTATATATACTCTCAATGAAAACATGCCTGCATTTAAGTATGTATTTTTTCATTGGGTTTCTATCTTAAAACTGTTGCAAAAGCTGTAGATCTCTTGTCTGTAGCCTTTGCAAGCCCACCCTTCTAAACCCGCCTAGACTTTGTGTCGTCCAATTATAGACTTCCCAGTGCAGCTCAATTAGAAATGCTTACAAGTCCAGTGGTTGGAGCAATTGCAGCCTCTTGAGTTAGATCTGCTTTTCTAAACAACCAGTAACATGACTGGCTATCTGACAGCCAGGGGGTATAAAAGGGGTTATTTATAAAAGTGTGCATAAATTTGTTTTTGAGTCCGGACCTTTTTGTAACATGACATGTAGAGGACACAATCTTCACAAATAGCACTGACGCAAGCTGAAGTTCTTTAGGGGTCTGTGGTGTCCCTTTTCAAATAAATCTCTTGTAGTTGCTGTGGTTTAGGACCCTGGTGTAGAAAATGAGCGTTAAAAATGATGTGCAATATATAGGGGCACCTTTCCATCATAGGTAGCAAAGACAGATGCGGGATGTAATTGAACGAGTGTGACAGTAAATCCTTCATCAACAATCTGTGATGTAATCCCTATGTTTTACTCTTGGTGTGCCTGAGCCAGATTTCAGTCTATATCAGCGAGGACGAAGGTTAAGCCTCTGGGATGTAGCTCAGTGTCTGCCTACAATGTCACTGGCTTCCACAATTGCGTATATTGTGCCAGATATGCACTAGCATCCTTGATAATAAACACTCGTCCATCAGGAGTAGCAGCAGTTCACTGCACCCAGACCACTCCAATGAGCTGAAGTGGGCTTTGTCCCTATAGTGTCCCTTTAAACTTGCCTTTTCTCCACCACCTACATGGCTGAGAACCAATCTTGATGATCTCAGCCAATCTAATGCTTTCCAATAGGCAAACATTTTGAGGCTATTGCGAATGTGTGGCAAAACGCTGAAGCATTCAGCATCTCCTCAGATGCATTGAATCAATGCATCTCAATAGGTAGCATTTTCATGCGAAGCATGGAGACGCTGAAAGTAGGTGCTGCAAACCGTGAAAAGGCAGTGTTTACAGTGCTCAGACCACAGGGACTTGCTATAAACACCACAACCTATACATTAAGTTGTAGAGGTTCTGGTGATATTACCACTTTAAAATAAGTTTAAAATCTTTCCTATGGTAAAACTAAATATGAATACCTTCAGCATATAGAATAAATTATTCTTTCTTGCATATAAATTGTCATAGGTGGTGCTTCATATAACAAGCAGAATAAACCAGTGAAAATATGCCCTCAATTTTATGACTCAAGCATGGATGGCAAAAACAAAAATATGATTCCGAGATGAAAATGTGTGACTTGTATCATTGATTCAGACGTAGCACTTTTGAAATTGACATATGTATAAGACTGCTTTATGTTTGGCACACCTTCAAGCATTATGATTAGCAAAACATGCAGTGAGATTTGTGTGTGGGATCAATAACTAAATTAACCTAGTAGAGAAGCTGTTGGAAATGGGGGAGAATTAATACAATCTGTGTTCATTGTTAGCAGAATTTAGGTTTATTTTGTTGCATCTCTTTTAGCATTTTTAAGCTCTGGCAGTGAAGATGTTAAGCAGTTTGGCAGTAGGGTAGCTGCAGGTGGTTCTGAGCAGTCACCCGTTATCAGTACAGATCCTGCTGTTCAACCCTCCTTTAAATAGCTCACACAGGACTGTCACATGGGGGATGTGTATGTGTGGGCGGCCGTCAGTTTCCTTGGCAACCAGTGGCTCGTTAAGGGATAATAGCAGCTTTGGTACACATGGATGGGAGCAGCAAGGGGCACTAGGGGGTTCTGACGTGTCTCAAAATTAACCCATTGATTTACACCCTTTATAATTTATAGCATAAATAGATCTGCCTGATTTGAGTAAAAGATGTATTAGAGAGTTACCACAGGATGGCACTATATGTTCAATGCTGATTTACAGGCAACTTTGTATAATCTAAAATTTGAGATTGTGATTTAATATGTTGCAATAATGGCCACGTACTAGCAGTAGCATGTCCATGTGTTCCGTTGATGGAACTGACTGGTGTGGGTTTTTTTTTTTTTTTTTTTTGGTGAAACTATACTTCGCATGCCTTCTTTTGGTCAGTAAGAATTAGTCAGAAATGTTTTCTCTCCTCTTCTCTAGGTCCATATGACAACCGCACAGTGTATGAGACACTGGATATTGGGTGGCAGCTCCTTCGAATCTTCCCCAAAGAGATGCTCAAGAGAATTCCGCAGTCTACCCTGACTGAATTTTACCCGAGAGATTCATCTGCTAAGCATTGAGCTGAACTTTCATGACCCGTCATCCATCCATCTTCTCTAACTTAATCACCACCTCACCCTGTGCTGTTTACATATCCTGGCAACCCTTGCAGGGGCAGGTTGGAAACTGTATACCCCAGAGTCCTTTTGGGACCAAAATAAGTCAAATTGTCTACAAATAATAAATCAACACATGTTTATAACCCCAGGAGAGGGCATTTGTGGGCAATTCAGCTGCTGCTGGACTACATCTCTTGGCAGCTTTAGTCCAGCCACACCTGAGTTGCCACTAGTAGGGTATCTACTGACCGGTGGCAATTGTAAAACTATGTCCCCTACACACATTTGTAACACGCATGTATTTATTGTGCAGTTAATGCACTTGTGGTTTTTATCTTGTGTCTTTGTGTGTAAATTCTACAGGTTAGCTTTTAAGAGCCATTTTAGTCTAATCCTAGTACAATTAAATGGCTGACCGTTTTCTTTGTTAGTATCATTTATTCTTTAAGGTCTTGGGGATAATTAACCGCTCTGTTCCATTGTTCAAGACTTCTGACATTAATTTTCTAAACCTATACTTTGTGAATGATCCAGGTAATTGTTGTATCCTGGCGCATCGGTAGCCCTTAATGAGCCATTGGTCTGTATTATCCTTTCTTCGTTTTGCTTGTGTTTTAGCATCTCATACTTGGTCTTCATGTCTTGCTCTACTCCTATGCCCTTCTAATGTTTTACCTTCAATCCTACCAAGTTAGTGATGTTGGCTTAAATTTTTAATGGCTATACTTTCTATATTTTTTCCATTTTTTTTCCCTTGCCTCTAAAATCCCATTATACATATGAGGTTTCTTACCAGTGGGCATACTTGTGTTATTTTGTTTGTCAGGTTGGTGCAATAGGTTCTGGTACTGCTCTTTGCTTCATTCCATCTGTAAACGGTGTATAAATTTATTGCAGAATGTCAGATTTAAATAAATATTACATGTACTGTTTGAACCTCCTACCTGCCTCTGACTGTTCCCTAGATTGGCAGTATAATAATTCAATGCTATACTGACATTAAATCTACACTCCTGCTTGCATTTACCCATTAAATGTTCTTCTGCACATGAATTTACTTGTATGAAACTTGAAAGAGACACTGTGGAACCCTACTCTCAAAGATGGAAGTGAACCCATTTTTAATGCTTTCTTCAGATTTTTCATTATTATGTGCACAAAACTGCATTAAAACAATACTTTAGCAAGTTGAAGCAGTACTCTGCCTTAATCAGCCTTAATCATCGTAAAAGCCTCCACTGATCAGGAGCCTCTCACTTTAGTCTATGGGGTCTGATATACCATAAATTCTTGTCCTGCATAGGCTTAAGGGATATGAGTACTGTTTTGGAAGCTGTTATGTTATTTAAATATCACCAAAATGTTCTGCAGCACTTTTTCGAAAGGGGAAAATTTAGAGCTAAGGTTATGAGGTACTCACAAAATGTTACAGAAATAATAGGTTGACGAGGACTTTGCTCGAAAGAACTCATATTCTAGTAAAGGTGGACTATAAAAACACAAAAGGAACGGCAGTGGGGTGTAGCAACCAAGCAACTGGTGGGAAGTAGCAGAATCAAAAATCAGAAGGTAAGACTGGAGTGTGGCTTTTTGAGAGAGCAAGAGATATGTTGGTGAAATACAAGTTACTACTAGAGGCCATAGGCTCTTCTGAAAAGATGGGTTTTTAATGACTTCTTAAATGATTGAATACTTGGGGAGAGTCTGATGGGAGTAGGCAGGCTGTTCCAAAGGAGAGGAGCAGCCCACTACAAGTTTTGCAAATGTGATTCGCAGTAAGTGTAAAGGTCACAGTCGAAGTGGAGAGACCATGAAGCTGTTTTTTAGGATTAGTGAAGAAATGCGATGGAGGATCATGTTGAGGGCTTTTTTAGGTATGGGTTAGTATTTTGAATTCCTTCCTACAGGGAGCCCCAATGTAAGGATTAACAGAGGGGCGAGAGAAATCAGCCTGGCAGTCATTACACACTGTAGCAAGGAAGGACTGTTTCTGAGACGTACAGTAATCAATGCAAGGAATTACATGGGCATGAAACAAGCTTTTTAGTGGAATCTTGCATAAGAAAGGGACAAATGCAGATAATGATTTTTAGGTGGAATTGGTAAAGCAAAAATGAAGATAACACCAAGACAGCGAACTTGCAAGGATGGGCTCATGCACATACCATAAACTTGCAGGGAGCGGGAAAAAAATGGAATTGCTAAATAAGCTGATCACAGAGCAAGCCATTGCATGGTACTATCAATTTGACAAGACTTTTTTTTGTTTTGAGAATAAGCTTAAAAGTCCTGTTTACCAGAGCTAAACATAGTGCATGCGCATTGGAAAAACTTAAGTTGGACAGAGTAAGGTAGTTAACACCTATGATATATGCAAGCTGTAAGAAAGGGGGCCTTTTTTTTTATTTATTTTTTTATTTTTTTTAATCGAGAAATTTTTTTTGCAAATTGTTTATCAGCAATTGTGTAGCTGTGACCTTTTTGCACATAATCTATGCAAAGATCATAGATTGTTATATTAAAGAATGCTCTTAGGAGGGAAAGAAATAAAACGTATTGGTTTACACTGATGTCCTCATTTTCCGTCTCTTTCTGTTTTGGCATTCTCTGATTCCTCTGTCTTAATTTACATTTTTGCATTACTAAACTTTGAATTTTCATGAATTCCGAATGGGGGTCCCCTGGCCCCAACCTAATTGCTGCATGTGAGGGCCATAAGTGATGTGGGGGTGGGGGGGGGGTTATTACCTGTTGTCTCCCCCAAACACATCCATTGGTGACAGGTGGAGGCTAATGGTAAAAATAACGAAACCCCCAAGTGACTAGTCTACATGGCAGGACGTTCAGGAATAGCAAATGTAGGCAACAGGAGAACACTTTCACACAAAGTTCAGCTTATTTAAGCTCCTTCTTGGGTAAAAGAAAGCTAAGCGTGGGAAAAATAAATTTGACAATGTAGTCCCTACTTTATTATTTATAAAGCACCAACCAATTCTGCAGTGCTGTACAATGGATGAACAAAGTTTCTAACCTGACGAGTTGGATGCACAGGAACAGAGGGTTTGATGGCTTGCTTAGGTAGGGTAGAAAACTAGGTTGCTAGAATAGTGTTCACTATATGACAGTTGCAGTAGAGGAATCAGGGTGTGGGGGGATAAGCTATTAACAGTTTAATGTATATGCTTTCCTGAAGTGAGTTTCCAATGATTTAAAAAAAAAAACATTTTAAGCAATAGACTGGGTGAACGTGTAACAGGGAAAGGGAGTACCATAGGAATAGTGAAGCCCTAGAGAAGTCTTGAAGGCGAGCATCAGAGGATAGACGTAGGTATCAGACAGAATTTATGGGCCTACATGGGGACATACTTGTGTATAAGGGAGGATAGGTAGGCATTATGTAGCGATTTGTAAGCAAGAACCAGAATTTTAAATTGTGCCCTATATCCTATGGGAAGCCCATGCAGAAACTGACGGAGGGAGGAGGTACGGGTGGACAGAAAGATGAGCTTCACATTCATTATACTCTAATAGGCCAAGTTGGGAGCACTTACTGAGAAGCAGATTGCAGTAGTCAAGGCAAGAGAGGATAGCAACATGGGCCAGCACCTTGGCTGTGTCCAACGTTAAAGGACCACTATAGTGCCAGGAAAACACTCGTTTTCCTGGCACTATAGTGCTCTGAGGGTGCCCCCTCCCGCTGGGCTGGATGGTGAGGAAAGGGTTAAATCTTACCTTTTTTTCCCCCCAGGGCCGGGTGGGGAGCTCTCCTTCTCCTCTTCGGCTGAATGAGCATGTGCGGCAGGAGCTGCGCGCGCATTCAGCCAGTCTCATAGGAAAGCATTTACAATGCTTTCCTATGGACGCTGGCGTCTTCTCAGTGTGATTTTTCAGTGAGAAGCACACAAACGCCTCTAGCGGCTGTCAATGAGACAGCCACTAGACGCTTTAGAGGCTGGATTAACCCATTTATAAACATAGCAGTTTCTCTAAAAAAAAAAAAAGGGTTAATCCTAGAGGGAGCCTTTGAGGTAGAGGTGATGGTAGCGCTGTTAACTTGAGGGAGGAAAGACCAGATGTTGTATTTTGGACAGGTAAAGTTTAAGGAAGTGAACCATCCCGTTCGAAATAGCAGAGAGGCAGTCAGACACGAGTCAAGAGGGGCAAGAAGAGATCAGGAGAGGACAGATTGCTTGTCATGCGTATAGAAATTATAGTGAAAGGCGAAAGGGCTTATGAGTTTATCGAAGGAGGCAGTATAGATCCAAAACCGTATAAGACCAAGGGGAACGTTGGAGAAAAGAGTCAGAGAAAGAAACACTGAAAGAGCGCTGGGAAAGGTAAGAGGAGCAGCAGTACAGAGCCGTATCTTGTAGACCAAGATTACAGTGGATGAGCAGAAGCTGTTGGTAATAAACAGTGTTAAAAAACAGCAGAAAAGTCATGATGAATTCGCATAGAATAGTGACCAAGAGATTTTGCAGCAATTAGATGATTGGATATTTTGGTCAGAGCCGTTTCCACAGAGTGAAAAGTGAAACTGAAGCGGATCAAGCAGCGCGTTGGATTCGATGAAGTCTGTCATTCTTGCATACACAACTCTCTCCTTCTGATTTGAAGAAAACTAGAGCTGAAATAAAAGAGGAAGTGAGTGGGAAAAGGTAAGTTTGGTGTGACCATGCCACATTAATGGGAAACTGTCACTTCACAGAAAATTGCAGTTTTGAATAAAACATTGAAAATCGCCTATAACATGTTACCTTTTTTATATTTATATATATATATATATATATATATATATATATGTGTGTGTGTGTAACCAGTTATCTTTAAAATCTGTTAAAGATTTGGAAAATTACATCACAATCAGTTATAACCTCGCACAACCATAACAAGTATTGCAAATGAAAAGATATATAATATAAAAATATATATATTTTCTCTCCCTTGTATGCTTTCTGTACATACCAATGGTGGACAGGTAGCCAGGATGGATGCATTTTTTTAAAAAATTTTTAACATCTTATAAAAACATATTTGTTAATATAGTGTATAAGTGAGGTTAACCTGCAGAACCTATCATGGGAACTGCACATGTGGGTCATTAAGGTTCTTTCCCCAAAGGGGCATTACCCCAAACCTTACATACAAGACATGGGGACCTCTAGTGAGTGAAGAGTTTAAGTGGGGAAGAAGCCAAAGGGTAAGCATACAAACCGTAAATACTTCATTCAGAACATATTTTAAAATGTGACCTTGTATCCACATATACACAAAATCACTGGATAAACAGGTCTGGACTCTTAAAGGAACATTACAGGGTCAGGAACACAAACATGTATTCCTGACCTATAGTGTTAAAATCACTATCTAGCCCCCCTAAATAAAGTAAAATCTTACCTTTATTCCAATCTGCTGGTGCTGGCAGTATCAGAATGATGAACCCACAGAAAAGCATTGGATTGGCTGAGATTGTCATGGAGGTGTGCCAGGGGTGAAGCCAAATGCCAAGCTGGCCAATCCTCATAGAGAGGAATTGAATCAATGCATTTCTATGAGGAAAGTTCAGCGTCTCCATGCAGAGGGTGGATACACTGAATGTCAGTGTTGCACTCTGAGCTGCACTGCCCCCAAGTAGCACCTCTAGTAGCCACCTCCAGGAGTGGCCACTGGAGGTGTCATTAGGCTGTAATGCAAACACTGCATTTTTTTTTCTGAAAAGACCGTGCAAAAAGCCTTTTACTGCAAAAAGCCTGCAGGGATTGACTATACTTACCAGAACAACTACATTTAGATGTAGTTGTTCTTGTGACTATATTGTTCCTTTAAGTGTAGCAAATGTATGCTATTTCAAAGTAATAACTCCACTATAAAGGTACAGATAACTAGCAATATATGCATAGTATTCTCTGCTTTTCTTCTTTTTAGCTTATATCCCCTTCTCTTTGGATGTAGTTGCTGAGTTATAGCAGATATTTACCTTGTACACATTACATTTGTACCATAACTTGTTACATATAATTATTTTGAAATATCATATGTATGCTTCATGTAGGATTGTAGATCTGTCTGGCATGTGATTTTGTGTGTGCAGACTAGACATGTTCAATTCGTTTCGGTCCGAATGTGAATTCGGACATTCGGGTACTTCCGAATAGATGAATTGCCCAATGGTCGAAGTTCCGAAATTACCGAAGCTCCGAGGCACAGTATTGCCTAAGAACTAATATACTTACCCAGTGGAAGAATGAAGAATGTTACATTGTATACAATTTTAAATAAAAAGTATACAAACATAGCCATGATTCAGCTGTAAGCATTTGCAACACTTACAACAATCAAGTAACATACATTCATATAAAATGTAAGTTACTTAGCCAGTCAGTGTAATGACAGGAATGAATAAGTAGATAACTCCCTAATTCCCACGGTATTAGGGAGCTATCTACTAAAAGGCTGAAAGACATAAATTGGTCTTTCAGCCAAATTTACTAATACTAAGTAAAGATTACTTAGTATTAGTAAATTATGCCCCTACTTGCTATACTGTTGGCTGCTCACTTTAAAAAAAAAATAACCTAATGTCCTCCCCCCTGTCCCCCACCCCTGAGCGGTTGGTGGGGGCCCTAAATACTAATAAGGGGGGACCTAATGTCCTCCCCCCTGGCCCCCACTCCTGAGCGGTGGGTGGGGGCCCTAAATACTAATAAGGGGGTGACCTAATGTCCTCCCCCCTGGACCCCACCCCTGAGCGGTGGGTGGGGGCCCTAAATACTAATAAGTGGGGGGGACCTAATGTCCTCCCCCCTGGCCCCAACACCTGAGCTTCTGGTGGGGGCCCTAAATACCAATCCACCAATCAGAGTGTTATGAGTCAAATTACACAGCGTGGGAAAATTCCAAAGAATTTTCCCACGCTTTGTAAAATGACACAGAGCACTCTGATTGGTGGATTTCAAGCCAACCAATCAGAGTGCTGTGACAGGTAAATGTAGAGACTTACCTGTCAGTCTCTTCATTTACCTGTCAGAGCACTCTGATTGGATGGCTTAAACCCACCAATCAGAGTGCTCTGAGCTTAATTGCAGGGTGGGGGAAGGCTTTATAAGCCTTCCCCCGCCCTGCAGAGCTCAGTCTTTGCGGAGCCCTCCATGGGCGAAGATGGATTTTTTATTTATTTTTATGCCCCTTTATTTATTTATTTATATTTTTTTAAGTGCATTGGTTATTATGGATTTTTTATTTGGCCTTTTTTGGGGCTGAAAAAATAAGATTTTAAAAGAGAGAAAACATCAAATGGTAAGTTTAATTTTTTTTTACAGGTACTTAGGTACCCTGGGGGGGTAACATTTTTATTTATGGCCCCCACCCGCCGTTCAGGGGTGGTGGCCGGGGGGGAGGACAATAGGTCCCCCCCATTGGTATTTAGGGCCCCCACCCGCCGTTCAGGGGTGGGGGCCAGGGGGGAGGGCATTAGGTCCCCCCCTTATTAGTATTTAGGTCCCCCACCCACCGCTCAGGGGTGGGGGCCAGGGGAGAGGACATTAGGTCCCCCCACTTATTTTACTGTAGGGCCCCCACCAACTGCTCAGGGGTGGGGGCCAGGGGGGAGGACATTAGGTCCCCCCCCCTATTAGTATTTAGGGCCCCCACCCACCGCTCAGGGTGGGGGACAGGGGGCGGACATTAGGTCCCCCCCATCATTTTACTTTAGGGCCCCCACCCGCCGTTCAGGGGTGGGGGCAAGGGGGGCAATAGGTCCCCCCTTTAGTTTAAAAGCCCCCACTTGCGCGTCTCGGGAGGGGGGACCCTTTTTTTTTTTTAAAACAGTGAGCAGCCGCAGGCTGCTCACTGTTTAACAGACATGCCCCTACTCGCGGTATAGCCTTTCAGCCTTTTGGTAGATAACTCCCTAATACCGTGGGAATTAGGGAGTTATCTACTAAGCGGCCTGAATTTCGGAATGCCAAACCGAACCGAAAATTTTCCCCATGTACATGCCTAATGCAGACGAGACACCACTTCACTTTTTAAAATATGTTCTGAATAAAGAGTTTACGGTTATACTCACAGTTTGGGTTCTTCTCCACTTCACCAAGTTACTCACTAGGAGTATGCTGTAATGTGCGATAATAAACAAATCCCTTTGTGTGTGACTTTATGAACTTTGAACATTGGGGAGCACATGAAGCAGCAGGACATGGCATTAAGTTGTAACAGGATAGCCTATCCCGCTTTGGTTAAAGGAGCATTATAGCATTAAGAATAAAAAAGTATTCCTAACGCCATATTGTTCTATGAACACTTTAGATCATTGCCCCACCCACCCCAGAATGAATAAATAAAGCTATGTGGAAATTAAGTTTCTCTGTATGTTGTGTTAGCTGGGTGTGCGGATTGGGGTCTAAGGAAGACTAATGGATAGAAGACACAGGTATTTATTGCTTAGAGGGGCAATTTATGGAGAGTGACGGGGTATGGGAAAGCAAACATTTGTTGCATACAATGGAAATATTTGCCAACCAAATTCTATCAGCCAAAATATTGTACATGTACATGAAATATTAGTGAAAAACATTCAATGAAAATACCAATGAGAACTGTATGCACATCAAATTACAGTTCATACAACCTCCAGTTGTTTACATGTGCATATGGATTTGGGATAGTACGCAGGTAACTTTGTTTTTGGTATTTATTATAAAATTACAGTTAGAAACTGTAGTTAGAAATGGTAAAACTGTTTTAGTAAAAATAATATAGTAACAAAGGTAGAAATAAACAGGTCCAAGCTCAGTCAGTGCCTTAAAGTTGCAGGGAGAGGTGGAATTATAGTAGTTTATTTAATTTGTCTCATGCAGATAACGTGTGTTATAGATTGCAGAGAATAAAATTTAGGAGTGAATTTAACAACATAACAATCACCTGCCAATAATGATAAAGTAGTTTATTATTGTAGTACAGACTGCAGACATCCTTTTAAAAACTGCAAAGTATAAAGTGATAGCTGGGGCACAATGTATTTATGTATTTATTTTAAGATTACCAGCTTTGTAAGGATGGTAATGTATTTGGATTCCCACGTACTCCAGATTTTTGAAATGTCTCCCTGGCTAATTTCCCAGGCAAGCTTTGTTTAGATTTATTGGAACCGTGGGATAAGGGAGATGAACAACACCAGGTTCAAAACCCACATTATCAAGAAGCAGAGCAACAGGCTTGGAGGGGGAGCTGTTGGAAATAACCTCTAGTTACTCAGTCTTGATTGCATTTTGACTCCTTAACCTTAGAATGAAGAATCTTTGCTTATATTAGTTAATCTGGGGTGCAGGTAGTGTATGTTTTATATGGAAGACATTGTAAAGATTAATATGACTAATAATTTACAGCAATTGATCTAGTGAGAGGCACCATACCTGCCCTGTCTTATTCTAACATAGTATTGTGTTAGATTTCCAAGAACAAATCACAATGTAGTTTTCCTTTTATATAGTGGCATGTCCGCAACACCATTAAAATATTGGAACACTCCCCACCATGTCTTCCACCATACCTTAAAAAACAAAGTTTTGCCAGGATGGGTCAGTTTGTGCATATAATGCATCACTCATATAGGTAGGTGACTGCAGTGGGATAATCACAGACAATTCTCTACAAGGTTTTGGACTCATAGATGGCCAAGTGGAGTTCTTCTGGCTTTCATTTTATCATACTGGAATTATGATATTGAATAGCATTTACAGGGTTCCAGCTTGGGGTAAATATAGTAATATATGCACAGACTTCAACTGTGATCTACTTTGATCCAGTGGTGCTACTTTAACCAGTCAGATCATTTATTTTGGTGGGGATTTATCGGACTCCAGGGAAGCATGTCTCACGTGTCCTCTTGCACTGATAGAAGCCTTTTAAGGTGAGAGATAGCTTCTCTTTACTTTGAAAATACCACTTGTAAGGTATTATGAATATAGTGAATATTATGATAATTTTATTATTTTGAATATCTACTCCGGCTTCTCATTACACACCTAAAAGAAAAAGTTGAAAAGCTACAGCCACCTTCCCACAAGCCTAAACCCATTGCTAAAACTGAAAAGATTGTGTTTCTGGGTCTGGATGAAAGGAAAATGTTTGAGATGCCATTATAAGCCTCCAAAAACAGCTGATCTATTCAGAAAAGATGAACTATGAAAGTGTAGGATCTACTATTGGTAGCTTTTCGTGGACAAGTCAAGAATGAAACCTCTTCAGGGAGAAATCCTCAAATCTTAGAACCGGACAAAAGAAAATCTGGATTCGGTAATGGTATGATGTAAGAGGTCAAGATTTTTAAGAAGAGGCCTGTCTTTTCTCAAGATACTTTGGAAAACGATTACCACCAATTAGCAATCACTCAAAATTAATAGAATACGGTCTTCAAGACAAAGTTGTCAATTTTCAGATTACAGAGAGCTAAAGACAGGTCTCAAAGCACTGAAATCTTTTCAGAATCAGTTTGAGGGCAGAGCTCTCTAGATTCAGCTGGACAACAATACCGTGGTGGTGTACTTGAACAGAAAAGGAGGTACAAAAGTCTATGCTTTATCCAAACTAAGTGCAGAAATTATTACCTGGGCCGAACATCATCTGTACTTAAGCTGTATACATCAGAGACCTTGACAGTATTTGTTACAAACTGCCGTTTGTAACTGGGATTTTATGTGACAAATTGCCCTGTGTCCTTGGCTTATGGTGAAGCCTAATTGCCAGCCTTCTTCCTCATGACTATGACCCTATAAGAACAGCATTGGGACTTATGGATTTTTATTGGACCGTGCTGGCCCTTTAAGAACCGTCTGGGGACATATTGTGACTTTTGGGAACAATGCCCCTTTAAGACTATGTCCCCAGATCTTTAAAATACTTTTTCTTATGGCTTTCTACCACTTTGTTCAGTAAATGGAGCTTTGAGTTACAGAGACTAAGTCCCGTTCGGCTGTTTGAACTCACTGTTATACTGAGCCAAATGCACGAACAGCCTCGTTTGTGCATTCAAATGGGACTTGGTCTATTTTACACAGAAAAATGACTGACCACACAGCCCAAATCTATGGAACTGTTTTGGGCAGGAAAATGTGCTTGCGGTCGGTCATAAAGGACTTCAAGCTAACTTTTTAACCCCTGGATGGAATTGTGTTCAGTAATTATATCACAGGCAGAGGGAAGGGTTTGTGTGTAGTTGCTGGGAGTGTTTTATTGTATTTTTGTTTTACAAAACCCTGTGGGCGGTACTATGTTTCTAAAATGGGCATAAAAGCAGAGTGTTGGATTAAAAGTTCAGTTCTTCTTCCCCCTCAATCTAGAGTCCTGTCTCTTATTGGGGGAATTGCTATATCACTACAAGGGATTGCTATGCTCTGCATGCTGCCTTGGATAATCAATTCTAAGCTCTTTTAAGAGCTTGTTCCTGTCTTTCTCTCAGAAGGAGTCTACGGTGGTTATGGAGTTGGCTGGAGGGCTTGGAGCCCTCAGGAAGCGCTAGGAGCATCCTTCAACAGAGGTACCCAGTGGGGGTGCCAGGTGATCCATTACAGTATTATTGCAGTCAACCTAGGTATGTCAAAATAGTGACAGAGTTTGTGCTGCTCCATTATACCCTTAATGAAGTGGTGGCCATGTTCAAGCATTCAGTTATCGATCTAATAGCAACACAGCAATTTTAGGAAAGTCCCGGTATTCTCCTTGTGCAGGTCAAGGATTAACTGGATTCACTCTTGGTCTCTTATACTTGTAAAATCAGATTAGATCAAAATACAGTGATTGCTATAATTCCTTTCAGGCCCAAGAGAAGTAAATTACTAGTGTTCCTGCAGTTGGCAAACATAAATTATTAGAATGATATAGTTATTATATATTAGAATATTATAGTACCAGAGCCAATGGAGGAAATGTATAAAAGTGTTTGTTTTTTTTCTTCTGAAAAATTGAACAAAAAGTTTAAAAGGGATGAGTAATCACTGCAACCTGCCCTCTGGTTCTATTGGATTTCATGGTGATTGTCCCATTTTAAGAACTTTAGACCACTTTTTCCAGAGTAAAATACTTTGATAAACAGTCACCAGTATTGCAGAACAAAGGATTGTGTAGGTTCACTGGAAATGTTCAAGCTGGCAGCTTGCATTCTTCAAGGCTAGTTTTCCAATATCAGTGCTTGGAGGAAAACAAAAAAATATTGAGTTTTATCAGTGGCAGAACTAGCACCGGTTCAGCTGGGCTGACTGTAGCAGGGACCCAGAGGGTTTGGGGGCCCAGTCCGCTGATCATTGGCGCAATGCCATGTGTTCTCTGGTCCACACTGGCACTCTCAGTAGTTTCTGCCATGCTGAGAGAGGGAGGCCAGGGTAGATCATTTTGGGCTCAACACACACAGCCTGCATGTGGTTCTTCACGATAAGACTCTCAAGGCAAGGGGGAGGGACTGGAGTGGAGATTATGCTGTTGATGTGTGACCAACAGCTGACTGGCTATGGTGGATTGGTGGATGGCAGTGGTGTATTTCGGTTTTGTGTTGCCCTAGGCATGACTAAACCTGGGCACCCCCCTAATCTAAATGTGTACCAGCCCTTCCTGTCAAGGACACACCTCTTCCTGATTAAGTGCACACACCTTCATTATTAGACTCCACCTTTTCTTAATCCTCTATAGTGCCAGGAAAACAAAGCACCCCACTCTTGTGCCCCCCCCCCACCCGGCACCAAAGGGCATCCAGCAGACGCTGGATGCCTAACCACCCGGAAGTCCCTCTGGTAGACTAGAGGTGGAGTTAACCCCTCAAGTTAATTATTGCAGTTTCAGGGTTAAGGGGACTAGACACTGCATCCAGACCACTTCAATGAGCTGAAATGTTCTGGGTGTCTATAGTGTCCCTTTAAGCACGCACTCTGACAGACACATATACATTCACTGACAGACACACACTGGCAGATACACACTGACAGTCGCACGCACACAGACATCACTGACAGACACAAACTCACTGATTTGACACACCCATTCACTGACACAAACTCACTCATTAACACACACATTGACAGACACACTAATAGTCACGCACACACTTAACGACAAACAGACTCTCATTAATTTGACAAACACTCACAAACATACACTCACAGACACATACATACACACACTCACAAATTATTGCTATTATTATAATTTAACATTTTCCACCCAGCCTCCCTACTTGGAGAACTGGCGTGGGTCTGTCATTGGGGGTCCAGTGGGGCTGCTGTGAGGCATGCAGCTGTGTTTGAATCAGAGGCGGCGAGTGAGCTCTGATCTCCCTGCTCTACTCCCTCTCGCCTTGGCAGGTCGTCTACTGATGCCAGGAGATGGAATGACATCATATTCTGGCTCCCGCAGCATCAGGAAACAAAGGGAGAGCAGAACAGGGAGATCAGAGCTCACTCGCCGCTTCTGATTCGAACATAGCTGCATGGCGGGGGGTCCAGAAGGTGGCCAGCAGGCCATGGGAGGAACACAGGGAAGCTAATGGGGGCGGCATTTTTTTGGCAAGGCAAATTTTTTTGCCAAGGCAAATGCTTAGTTTCCAACTAACCCTAGAATGATTTTTAAGAGGGGAAATAATCTAAAGAATATCTTGGCTCTGAGTACGTTCAGGGGGAAGATAGAGGGAACTACATCTCCTACTGGATTCTACACGTGTGGAAAATGTAAGGCGTGCAGATATTCATTTACATCATATAGTGAATTTAAAAGTACCGAGACTAAGGAGATGTTTAAAATTCAGAGCCGGATTTCATGTTCCTCCAAGCATGTTGTGTACCTCATCACTTGTGGGTTTGGTGCACAGTATAGAAACATAGAATGTGACGGCAGACAAGAACCATTTGGCCCATCTAGTCTGCCCAATTTTCTAAATATAGTATGTGGGGAGGACAGACAGGAAAGCAAAAGTGAGATGTCTGGAACACTATAACAATATACAGAATAAAGTTACTACACATTCAGTTCCGGAACATTGTAATAAATGCCCCTCATTTAAGAATAATATTTATTTTATAGCAATAGAACAAGTACGTTTGGATGAAAGAGGAGGATATTTAATGCTTAAATTAAGAAAAAGAGAAGGCTTTTGGATACACAAGTTAAAAACGATGCAACCTCGAGGCTTGAATGTAGACTTTAATTTAGTCTGTTTTTTTTTTAAATAGTTCTTTTAAGGGTCCCTTTAAGAGTCTTTTAAATTCTCTTTATATTTTTAGATATAAGGGTCTTTGCAGATTTTATTATTATTAAGTATGATTAATTACTTTTTTAGAAGGGTATTTTTTATGATTTAAAGGTTTCTAGATTATTTTTTTATATATTTTTTTTATATGTTTGGGGTTCACTCTAGATGATACAGGGTGTAGTTGGTGTTTCCTTTAAAGGTTTTGGGTATATATCACTTGGATAGTTTTCTTGATACATATTAACTTTTTGGTATGTTTAAACATTAAGACACTTTTTGTGACATGTGTAGTTGAAAAGGTATATAGTTTTTATGGTGTATTCCTGTTTTAACCTTTTTCTTTTTTTTATGTGTCATTTGACTCCTCTATATATGTTTTATGAGCCACTTTGGGACTGTTTATGGAAAGATGGGAGGACTTTGCATGGACTTCTTGATCTCCCGATTATTACAACAAGATGCCGATTGTGCACACGCACACAAGGAGGAACGGCACATGAGAATGAGGCTTGGAACGCCATCAGTGCAGATGAGCCGGAGCAGCTCGACGTGGATAGGCGGACGACTAAGGCGGAATGCCTTACCGGGTAATTTAAAACCACGCCGAAAGGAGAATGACGATGCTGCACGGGAGATCTTTGAAGCGATTACCCCTGAGGAAGTCCGATTGGTAACGAGTTGGACTATTGTAGTGAGGTTTTTATTCTGTTTTATTTTAATTTTTATATTTGTAACAATAAATAGTTTTTACAACTTATAACAGTATCCCTCATATTCGTTATCAACTGGAGGAGGATGGCTGTGGAAAATATTTGATGATATGCCTTTACATCACTATCAACTTGTAAGTGCAATTTATTGTAGTGCCGGATATAAGCATATATCATCTACACTTATTTTTGGTTTATTTCTCTCCACGCTTTCATGCTGAGGACCTCACACCATCTCCCTACTATCGAGATATGCCTGCTATCTATATGCATTTGTGAGTGCAACCTATTAATTTGTGTATTAATGTATATTAGCTATACTACTCTATGAGTTTTTATGTTTATTTTCTGTAAGCTTTTTCTATATACATTGTTTTGCGAGGACTGGTAGCAGTCCTGTTCTCTACAGTTTAGAACCATTTAGGTATTATTGACACCTGTCTGTGTGCTTGTTTTTTATTTTCAATAGGTGATTAGTGTGTTTTTGTCTATAATCTTTTTCCTCCAATTCACCATATCTGTTCATGGTAAACATGTTTCCAGAACTGAAGAAAATGAAAGAGGCTAAATTTCAATCATTGTTTGCAAATACTAGGAAGGAATCCCACCATGATGTAATAAATAATATGGACGATTATTTCCATAAACTAGAGAAATTGTCATTTAAGGAGACTAAAAAATGGTGGAAAATTTCCTTTTTAGAATCTTACATTAGAGAAGGGTTAATCCCGAGGGGTCTAAGATTAGACAAGAAACCAGCGAATGGTTTGGAAAAATCTAATCATGCCACTCGCTGGGATTCAGCTCTGGAAAAATGTGCAATAACTTTGATGGAGATTATTATTGATTTTGAAAAAGAGAATTTACAAAATGTTAACTCAGAAATTGGGAATCTGGAGAGTATGCACAATTTTGATGTTAACTCTCCTGAGTTTATTAGGAAAGGCAAAGTCCTGTCAGAAAGAATTGAAAAACTAGACGACAGGATAGCAGAAACTAAAAACACTAAATACATGAGAGATAAGGATGACAAAGATAAAAATCTCCATTCAATTAAAGTTAAAATGAATAGAGAATTTCCTAGGAAGATTCAAGGAAAGGTTTGGAACAAGCACAATCAAAAAAGAAATAATCAATATCAATGAAACTATAAAAGAGGCCATAGAGATAAACAATATTTTAGAAATCCAGAAAGGCAGAATTTAGTGGAATCACCCAGATGTCCCATGATTGAGGCAAGAAAATAACAAAGATGTAAAACTAATATTGGTACTAAGGAAAATGAAGGTGCTTATTCGATGGAATGTAATACTAACAAAAGGGATTTTTTAGAGAAGGGGCAAGACCCAAAGAGAGGGGAGATAACAGATTTTTTTCAACCAAGAGCATAGACGCTCCATCTCAGAAACAGGTTTGCCCCACTAGAAAGCCCGAGCACCCCAGGAAAGAGACGGAAGATGAGTGGCACAGGAGAGACATAGATGCAGAGGAGTTGGGAGTTTTTAATATCTCTAATTGCTCCCTTACATATCAGGAGATTTCCATTTTGAGTAAAGGCTTAAAATCCACCCCACGTGAACCACCAAATTCTTTTTAACTCTATATTGATAGCCATAAGTTTATAAGAAAACTATGTCTAAAAAGATTTTTTATTAAAAAAGAAATGGAAGGGCCTTGTAATGGTCAGAGATTAGAGTATTTAGAAAGCTCAGAGTTTACCACCAAATTCAGACCCAAATCAACTTTTTTTTCCCGAATGACAAAGGCCCCCAAATAGAGGCCTTTCATAAAAGGCTTAATAAAGATTTTGAAGCTATGTGTAAAAAAAACAGACAAAGACAAAATGGAATAATCTAACTAAGATAGAATACACTACATTAAAGAATTTGAAAGAACGAGAGGACATAATTATAAAAAATGCGGATAAGGGTGGAGGAGTGGTGGTAATGTCCACAGACTATTATTTAAAAGAATCATATAGATTATTAAATGACCATACAACATACCTCAAATTACAGAGTAACTCCACCACGCAATTTAAGAAAGAATTGAAGGACCTTCTAAATGGAGCAAAAAAGGAAGAATTGATAGATGATAATGTCTTTAAGTTTTTATTTTTAGAGTCCCCAAGAATTTCTACATTTTACTTTTTACCCAGTGTTCATAAATGTAAAATAAATCCACCAGGAAGACCGATAATTAGTGGTATTGATTCATTGACCTCTAGACTTTCAGAATTTATTGACTTTTTGCTACAAAAATACGCACAGAATGCGGAGTCATATCTAAAAGATACAAAGCACCTTATACAAAAATTGGAAGCAATAAAATGGCAGGAAGGTTTTATGTGGGTAACTCTTGATGTGACTTCCCTGTACACAATTATAGAGCACACAAAAGGGTTAGAAGCAGTCAAATTTAATCTGGAAAGAGATAATGAAATAGAGCCTACTTTTAGTGACTTTTTTATTAAGGTCTATAAATTTTGTCCTCACTCATAATTTTTTCATTTTTAATGATAATTTTTATCTGCAGATCAATGGTACCTCCATGGGCACCAAGTTTGCGCCAAGTTATGCCAATACGTTTATGGATTTTTGGGAAAGGTCCAATATTTGGACTAATAATCCTTTTGGCGCAAACTTGGTGCTCTGGAAGAGGTACATTGATGACATTTTAATAATCTGGAAGGGTCCTGAAGCAACTTTGTTGGATTTTATTGATTTTAATTAATAATAATGATCGATCTCTTAAATTTACTCCGAATTTTGTTAAACAGAAAATTTATTTTTTTGGATGTCACCCTCTATGTAGAGAATAATAAAATAAAAACAAAAACCTTTTTCAAAAATACCAACACAAATAGCTACATAGAGAAAAATAGTAGTCACCACCCCAAGTGGTTGACCGGAGTACCGAAGAGCCAGTTTACCCTGATCCGGAGAAACTGTACAGATAAGGATATGTTTTTTATCCAAAGTGAAATCCTTCGTGACAGATTTTTAGAAAAGGGTTACTCTCGGGACTCTTTGGATGCAGAGATTGTTAGAATAGGACAAAAGGAGAGAGGGGGTTTATTAAAAGATAATTATGATATTAAGAGAGATTCAAGCTAAGAATATGCTTTTAACACACAATACAATTCCAAAGCTTTTGACATTCAAAGAATTGTGAAAAGACACTTGTAACGGAGCTCCTTGTACTCCGACCGAGTACCCTCCGTTGACGGATGCTCCTAGCGCTTCCTGAGGACTCCAAGCGCTGCAGCAGACACCACAACCACCGCAGACTCCGCAACCGCCGTATCTGGACTGGAGTCTCGCCATCTTCCTTCCACCCTGGATCAGCTTCTGTCCTCCAGGACTGTGTGGGAAAGAACTCTCCCTTCCACCCTGTATGAATCTCCAGCATCCAGGACTGTGTGGTAAAGACCCCTCCTCCAAGGAGAGCGTGTCAGGAACAAGCTCTTAAAAGAGCTAAGTGACTCAAGCTCAGGGGAGCATGCAGAGCATAGCAATCCCCAGTGTGATTATAACAGCTCCCTCCAATAATGAGACAAGACTACATTTAGAGGGATCAAGAAGAACTGTCAAAACCTTTATTCCCTTGGGACCAGCCAATACAGTCACCACAATAACATTGTTGTGAAACCTCAATAAAATCACAAACAGTCAAACCATATCAAGAAACACACAGTGACTTATCACAACACAATGGCACATTTTTAAAGGGGTGGGGGGAGACAATATTTAACAGTAAATATCTCACCTGCCTGCAGAATTAGCAATATGCAAATCTACCCGAATATGCAAATGAACCAGTCTTGCAATTCAGGTAGTGCATATTGCTGTTGCTACCAACAGAGGGCACTAGACAAGCTCCATAGCCAAACCCACCTAGTTGGTAGCAAACCTCAGCAGTACAGGAGAGAAGGCAATACATTTCACAGTACACACACACACTATCAACAATTACATTACACACACCCTGCACCTATAATGGGTACAGGGTGACTAAAACATAAGATAAATAAAGCAGCCTACATAAATAGTCTGTCTGAAGGTAGAATAGGGGCATTAAAGGCAAATACATCAAAGAGTCATAGTCACAGGGGAGGAGGCTGGCAAGCAGGCCTCTCCAGTACCAAGTGGCGAAGGGCACTTCGTCACAACACTGGTCATTGCTTTTAGAAGATGATTTCCTTAGGACTAAAATTCCAAATAACCCT